GTGTCTGACACATGCAGAAACCCATCACCATGCTTATGAGTATCCAAACCAAACTGAGAATTCCATGCATCCCACTTACACATGGAAATTCCAGGGATGAATTGTTGGAATGGAATGCACAATCTCTATCTGGAGGGACAAATCCTGCTTACCAAATTCTGGAAAGTATTAGGTACATGTTGGCAAGAGCCAAGGTTTGGGGACCCCAGAATGGGTATTGGGGTACTGCTGGAATCTAACCAGCTGAAACCACATAGCTTGCCATGATAGCACTGTCTAGCAAGCTTTCCTGCTGTTTGTCCAGCTAGAACCACCCTACCCATTTGGCTTGCAGGGTTAATGGGAGCTAAGTGGGAGGATTCCCTGACCCCAATGACTGGTCTGGCCTTTCAAGTCCTGCCAATGTGCTGTCATCAGCAGTGCCCTGGAGTACTGCGGACCCGCCTGGCTCAGAAACTGGACTACAAAGACCCCACAGAGGGCTAGCTCGATTCTGACATTCTGTTGCCAAACACATCAAGTTGGAGCCAGTTCAGCTCCAAGGAGACCCCCCCCCACTTACCTCTACCCACCTCCGCCCACCCCCCAGAGGATAGTCACTGGATGGTCGTTTAATATCCGTCAAGCACAGGTTTGAACCCTCACTTGGTGGATGGTACCAGAAGCAAGCTTCCTGGTGGGCAACACATCTCAGCATGAAATGCATGAGAGCATTACCACCATCTTCCTGTCCACAGCTTGGGCACACGCCCTTCTCACTGAGCAATGTTTCCACCAGTTTGCGGTGCAGAGTTTAAGCAACAGCTGCTTAACTCTCTGCAAGCCAATCAAGGTGGATTCCAGGCACTGAATGTCCAAACGTGTGTTCACGAATTCGAACTCCAGGTAACGCCTTCCAACAGCTGCTGTGCCAAGCCTTAGGGTTTCTATGCAAGAGAAACTAAATATGCTGTATATGCCGCTGTGCTGTTCGCTACTGTGTCCTGTGGTTCATTTAGTGCTTGCCATGGCTGTTTGGGGGTCATTGCTGGATGGCTTAAGGTCTTAAGCGCTCCAAGACGCTGCCCCGCTTGAAGGGCGCTATATAAATAACAAGCGACTTTGCTTCAAAGTAACTGTGTGCAAAATTCTTTCTGAAGTTTTGCTATATGAAATACAAATATCTATAATTATATGAAGTCTTAGATTACCCATCATCATACATGCACTTAGTTGACTGGTACATTCAACTTATCCCTCTGGAGATCAAAAGATGTCATCTGACAGCAGGGCACCAACCTTTGGGTTCACATTTCTTTTGAGTTTTTCCAGTTATGTGCAGGTACCCTTTGCGCAGAACTCACATGTGATGAATGGGTGATACCATTATGTAATATACATGAGATCATGCAATCTTGTATATAATGCAACTACTATCTTCTATTTAACTTCACTTAATTTTATTACTACTGTACCTGGATAAAGCTATCTGAGACACTAGATGAAAACGATTTCCCTTTTATGATTATCTGCCTCAAGATCCTCCTCTTCAACCATCCCATCGGAGTCAGGGAGTCATTGCTGTCTGGTGAGGACATTAGTGATGGGCTAAGTTTTGTACAGGTAAGGATGTGGGCAGCAGAGTTTTGAATGTGCTGGAACTTGTCGATGATGAAACAGGGGACACTGACAAGGAGGGCATATGAAAAGTCAAGTCAAAGGCGTGGCTGAGAGTTTCCGCAGCACTGGGCATGAGATAGAGCCGGAGGCAGGGGGTGTGACAAAGAAGCTGAAAAGTGGTCTTGATCAGGTACCAGATATGAGGGAGGAAAGAGGGCTGAGAATCAAGTTGATTCTCAAGGTTGTGCCCTGGTTCAGCGAGTTGGAGAAAGAGGCAGAGAAGACAGGAAGGCTAAGGAAGTAAGAGTCAGATGCAAAGCAGTATTGATGGAAGCTGAGGAGGATAGTTTCTGTCCTCCCATACTTAGCTGAAGAAATTTGAGATTCATCCATGACTTGATGTCTGATAGTCAGGTAGGTAGGTGGTCATGGATGCTAGATGACTAAATATATCCACCCGCTTAAAAAAAAGCCACACAACTCATTTTAAAACTCCATTTAAATGCCCAAAATATTTGCTGATCACTAAAATTGTACAACTTAATAAAATTCAAAATCAGTTTTAGCTTTACAATTTCAGTAAAACTTGCCCAAGTCTGATCTGTATAAATAGTCGTACATTTGCCCAAGTCCTGTTTAAGAGATTATATTCTATGCAAGTTTGACATAACTCATACTTTGCATAAGTCGTATTAAAAATATGGTCCCAACTGATCCGACTTACGTGAGATTTACTGCAATCTAAGCAACAAAGTGCACAACGTACAGGGTAGAAACATGTGCTGCTCAGGAGGCTACAAGACATTAAAGGGTTCCTTTGGCAATAAGCACCTTCTTCTAAATCCTGTGTTTATATTCAGTATCCAGGAGCTGTTTGATGCTACGTCATCTCATGAATGTGGGAGTATATTGCTATTACATTTCATTAAATTGATTAACAAATCACCTTGCACAGTTTACACAGTGTGAGCACTTGAGGCAACTCATAACATAGATGAACAATTTTTGAAGTGCCTCAAATAAAGAAAAGCAGAGTAGGCAGTTACAGTTATAATATTAATCATTGCATTTGACATAGCGCCTTATCATGTCGTTGAGACATCTCAAAGCGCTTCACAGAATAAAATGTGAAGTGTATTGACTGTGTATTTTGTGGGTGAAACGCGGCAGCCAATTGCGCACAGCAATGTCCCACACAGTCACAGATTGTGTGACCCAAACTATTATTATTATTTTTATTTTTTGTTTTGAAGGGATTATTACCCCCGGAAAAATAATCTGCCAATTGACTAACAACTGTTCATTAAAACAATTGGGGCAGCTGAGATGACTTCAATTACAAAGGTGATGTGTCATTCATGTACTTATCTCGCTACACTGTAACTGTAAATTTTCAATATGCATGAATATCCACTGTTCATTCTAATCACTGTTTTTAAATAACATTCCTTGCATTTGATACACCACCTCTCGCATCAGGAGGACGTTTCAAAGCCCTTCACAGAATTTTACTGTAAAGCATAGTGACTGTATTTTGGAGGCGAATGCGGCATTCAATTTGCATATAGCAATAACCTACAAACAGCGATGAAGTGAACGGCCAATTTTATCAGCGGGATTGTTAACGGGACACAGGAGAAACCCTTTTCAATTTGTACCGTAGGATCTTTAATGTCCGTCTGAACAAGCGGACGGGACCTCAGTTTGTTGTCACATCCGAAGGACGGCGCCTCTGACAATGCAGTGCTCTTCCCAGTACAGTACTGCACTTAAGTGTCAGCCTAGGCTGTGAGTTTAAACTTACTGTCCCGCGTGAATGGCTCCATATAAATGCAAGTTGTTTTTGTTGTACAGTCCTGACTGGGTGGGGGGGGAGGGTTGAACCCACAACCTTCTGCCCAGAGGCAAGAGTATTACCAACTAAGCCAGGCTCACACCTCACCTATTTCTAAAAAATAAGTATTTTCAAGTTTCGCTGTTAGAGCAGGCAAGTACATTCACTGTAATTGCACCGTGATTAGAAGCCACATAGCCCACCAAAACTTTTTAAAAAGTTTAAGAAAACCTCTGATCGACTCACACCCACTTAACTGGGATTCATTCCTTTGACATGCGAAACTTGGCATCAACGATGCAATCCTAGAATTGACCAAGTTTACAGTAAATACCACATCTGGTCTGGAAGCATTTTTGTTGTAGATTTGCAGAAGAAGAAAAAAAAAACAAATGCCACGTCTTTCTAAAATACGTTATTCATTAAAAACCTGGAATAGTTGCACAGCAAATTTCTATCTGCTGAAGTCGAGCAGCAACTTAATTATTAACACCAGGTTTTCTCCACTCTCACATTTTAAAGCCTTCGATTCACCCACATCGCACACACTGGGAACTTAGTTCACGATTTGTTAAACGTTATGTCAAACATCAAGCAAACTCGAGCCTTGGGGGCCACACGAGAATAACATAAAACGTGTCTTATCTCTCTATCCATCTCAAAAACCCATCTCAGCTGCCACTCAGGAGTCTTGTAGCCTAATGTAGAACTGCTCATCTTACTTTACTGTTGGGGTTTTTTCGTGTGTAAAAAAAGAAGGGAATACTCCTGATGACGATTTAATCCACAATGACTCACTGATGTAACTGTACATCTCCCGCTATGTGAATCACTGTTTTTATCCTCATGTAAGTGTCACTCTCTCTCTCTCTCTCTCCTCTCTGGGGTCGCAGTTATCTCCCTCTTAAAGTTGACTTGCATTGATTTCTTCCAATCTCCTTGTCTTCTCCCTAATTTACAGTGAAGTTCTCACCCCCCCCACCCCCACCCCCCACCCCACACCCCCGACCCCCCCCCCCACCCCAACCCCCCCCCCCCACCCCAACCCCCCCCCCCCCCACCACACACACACACAGACATTGCAAAGTTTGGGAAGTTTTTCTGACAGTAATCTTCTCCCCACAGCTCACGGCCTCAAGAGCTTCCCAGGCATTGTAAAGTTTGCCTGGAAAGTTTTTGCTCTCTCTCTCACTCTGTCCCTCTCCCTCTCTGTCCCCCTCTCTCCCTCTCCCTCTCTCACTCTGTCCCTCTCTCTCTCCCTCTCCCCCTCTCACTCTGTCCCCCTCACTCTCTCTCCCTCTCCCCCTCTCACTCTGTCCCTCTCTCTCTTCCCCCCCCCCTCTCCCACTCTGTCCCTCTCTCCTTCTCCCTCTCTGTCCCTCTCTCTCTCCCCCTCTCCCACTCTGTCCCTCTCTCCTTCTCCCTCTCTGTCCCTCTCACTCTCCCTCTCCCACTCTCTCCCTCTCCCACTCTGTGTGTCCCCCCCTCTCTCCCTCTGTCCATCTCTCCCCCTCTCCGCCCCCCTCTCTCTCTCTGTGCTCACAGTCACTACACCGCTCCCTCTCACCTTGCAGCATCGCCTCCAGCTTCTTGCGATCCACCCGGAATCTGTCCTCGATCCAGTCGGGGTCACCGCAGTGCGGGAGACCCTGACCATCGTCCTCGGAGGCTGCGAGCGGAGAGTCGGTGCTCCTCTCGCTGTTGGAGCCCGGGTCCGCACCGCAGGGCTCTGGGAGCGGCTGCTCAGCCATCAGGTATCCGCTCAGAGAGTCGGACTGAGCCGCCATCGTGGTCGCCGAGCTCTCGGTCACAGTGTGGGGGTGGGAGTGGGGGTGGGAGTGGGGTGGGAGTGTGGGGGGGGGGTGGTCAAACTTTTCTTTTAACAGGAGCTGCTCAGCTCGTCACCCTGACCCGGGCTGGTGGGGGTGGGGGTGGGGGTGGGTGTAGGGGGTGTGTGGGGGGGAACTCAGCTCATCCACAGCCAAGTCCACATCCAACACCAATTCTTCCTCTTTCTCTCTCTTCTCTCTCCCACTCCCACTCTCACTCTCTTCTCCCTCCCACTCTCACTCTCTTCTCCCTCCCACTCTCACTCTCTTCTCCCTCCCACTCTCTCCCCCCCCCCTCTTTCCCACTCTCTCCCTCTCTCTCTTTCTCCCTCTCTTCTCCCTCCCTCCCACTCTCTCTCTCTCTCTTCTCCCTCCTTCCCTCTCTCCTTCCTCCCAACCCACTCTCTCTCTCTCTTCTCCCTCCTTCCCTCTCTCCTCCCTCCCAACCCACTCTCTCTCTCTTCTCCCTCCCTCCCTCCCAACCCACTCTCTCTCTCTTCTCCCTCCCTCCCTCCCAACCCACTCTCTCTCTCTTCTCCCTCCCTCCCTCCCAACCCACTCTCTCTCTCTCCTCCCTCTCAGCAGTGCAATCTGCTCACAAAATCCATCCGCACAAAATCCACCGAAGTAGTTCCACTGCAACTCAATCTGCGCTCTCTCTGCACTGTTACTGTGTGGGTTATTATTTGGAGCTGACTTTAGAGACTGACATATCGGGGTGTCAGCACTCTGAACATATGGCAATCACCCCCTTTGAGAATAGAAGTTAGATTTGCTATGAAAACTGAAATTCTATATTTTCTGTAAACATGGCAAGGTTTTAGATTTACTGGATACAGGACTCTGAATCAAAACATACTGGAAGCTTCTGCACAATGTATTCAGCTTGCTTGCTTTTTTTTTAACAGACTTGGGTGGAATATATTATGTATGGAGCAGAGGGATGTTTATGCTGGAGAATGAAACTCATTTCTGCACTAACCTAACATCCATAAGTACTCTCAGGTCAATCTATATGGGTTTGAGATGCAGAGTGCGTCTTCCTTTAACTCCAGTCTTCCCATTTATATTGCAGGACACCTGAGAAACAGTTGAAATGGAACCAATTACGACACAGCCAAAAGCTACAAGTGCTGGGATCCTGATTACTTTGCAAAGCAGAATTCTTTGAACTCACACTCTAGACTGACACTCCTGGGTTACTGGTGATACTGAGGGAGTGCTGCATTGTTGGAAGTGCGGTCCTTGGGATGAGAATGTAAACCAAGGTCTCAATATCTGCCTGCCAGGTAGATGTTAAAGATCCATTGGCGCTACTCGGAAAGAGAAGGGAGTTTCTCCTAGTATCCTGCCAACCATCCCCTTGATAAAATTAGTCACTCAACAACAACAACAACTTGGATTTACATAGCGCCCTCCATGCCGGACGGCGTCTCAGAGCGCTTCACAGTAATGGATCCCGGGGCTGAGCCAGGGGGAGGGGGAAGAAGGTGACCAAAGGCGCGGTCGAAAAGAAAGGTCTTCCGCAGAGACCTGAAAGTGTGAAGGGAGGGAGCGAGACGAAGGCAGTGAGGAAGGGAATCCCAGAGCCTCGGGGCATAGTGGCTGAAGGCGGGGCCACCGAAGGTGGAGCGGAGGACTTGTGGGACAGGAGGAGGCCAGACCCGGAGGAACGAAGGCACTCAGATCATTGTGATTTGTGGAACACTGCTGTGCACAAATTGGCTTCCACCTTTGTCTGCAAATATACAGTCACTACGCTTCACTGTAATCAATAACTTTACACACAAACACCTGGATTCCGATGTCTAAAATGAAAATTAGATATTGTCATCTGAGCAAAACATTTTAATCACTAGGGGGAAAAAATTCAAAGTTACCAAACTGGAAATAATTTCAAGCTGTCATTTGAGAGAAATCTTTGTAAATTCATCTTTACCATCTGGACAATCAAATTATTTTCTTTTGGCTGTTCCATTTTCTCCATATGCCGCTATTTAAAGAACAATCCTGTGCACGTCCAAAATCTTGCCACATTAATGTTTCCCAGTTACTTTCAGAATGGTTTACATTGAAGGTAAGATCAATGAATAGCTGCTTCAAGTGAGATATTGATCCATGAGTATAATTCCAAATGTACTATTCTTATTCAATCCTTTTATATAAAAAATCTGACCCAGGCATAATCCCAATCCACATAGATTTTTTTTTGCAAATTAGTCACACATTTATTAGAATTCAAAGGTGGCTTTGTTCTCTACCTTCAAGCAAAGAACTTTCATTTCTGGTGGGAGGATATAAGAACATCTTAAAAGAAACAAAAAGAACTAAAGGCAGATTTGCATTCCTGAAGCTTCCAAGGTAAATTGAATGATTATTTTTAAACTGCATGTTAGCCTGACCAATTTCCTATGGAAAAGTAAAAATTGAAACATAGCATGTGAGTCGATGGTGTGTGGTTTGTCTAAAAAAACAGATGATCACATTTTCAGATATTCTTTGTGCAAAATAACTATTTTCCATACATAATACAAATTCAATAAAACATTTTAATTATACCTGGAACTTTTCAAGTATTTCTGACAGTGTTCATGGTCATGTCTTGGACTGAGGTAACTCACCCTAAGATGGCCCTGACACCTTAACCTTAATCGTTTTCTTTCAAATATTGACTTGCTATGCATTTCCAGCATTTCTCGTTTGATTCAGATTTTCAGCTTTTGCAGTTTTCATTTTATTCCTGTAAATATTTTGTTCTCTGAAATACTGATGTCACTGGATATCAAGGGTAAGGCATGGATGGTAATTAGTAATTTATTAAGGAAGAAAGCAGAGGTTAGTCAATAGGAAAGAAAGGTTGACACGAGAGAGGTATTTAGTGGGATGCCTCATGTGATCATGCTGTGTTCCTCTTGTTCCTTGAATAAGTCAATATTGTGGATTCACAGACTTAGTGCAAACTAGTTGCTTTTGCATTTAACACCATGCTTGGAGAACTGTGGAATCAAAGCAGGCAGCCAAGGACTAAGAATAGGGTTTGCACCCAAGTTGATCACTATTGAAATGAAGTTCTGGCACAGATGAATGCAAGGTACTATACACCGGAAGTAGAATGGGCTTGATAGGATTAAGTCTGCATTGAATCAATATGAAAATGCAGCTAGGAAGATTGATGAAGTGAGAGTCCCAAAGGTGGAAAAGTACTGACAAAAATTGAATAAGATACTTCGGTCTTATTGACATTAAGTTGAAAGAAGTAAAGGCTCATCCAGGAATTGACAGGCAATAGATCGGAAAAGAAGCAGTCTTGGAATCAAGGATGGAGTTTGAGAAGTAGAACTGGGTGTCACCACCATACAAGTAGAAATTTTCCATTTATACATGGGGAATACGCCATTCTATGTTCAGCCAAACACAAATCTTCACCATCCAGTAGAATTATTTGTTGCTCAAAAATACAAATGGGCACAATTACCTACACCACAAAGCCGTTCAATTTAAGACATTCATTATTACTGCTATTTTCTGCAGGAAACAGCTTCTCACAAATAATAAACTGTGAAATTGAATCCAAACCTAAATTGAATTTACACTGCTATGAATCTACATTGAACACAAAACAAACTAATAAGTTACATCAATGCAGCTTTATTAATTTGCATTTTCAGTTCTTTGCAATTGATGTAGCACCTTATCCCATTGGAGTTCTGGACAACCCTCACTGTCAAAGCACATACATGAAGAATGGTCGCTTGACAAGTTAAAAGAGGAAAATAGTTTACACAATGAGTAAGTTTTGAGGAAAGGTACACAGAACTTAGCTTGCAATCATTAGAGAAAAGAAAATGCAGGGGAATATCTAGACCTTTATAATGATGAGCGCCATAGATAAGGCAGGTAAGGCATTGTCAGACTGCGCCACTGTGAAGCATTCCAGGATGCTACCCCTCGTGAAGGGTGCTATATAAATGCAAGTTGTCGTCATCTAGGTTGTTTGGTTTAGTTTATGAAAGCTCAACTAGAGCACATAGGTTTAAAATTAAAATTTCTCAAGGGCTGGAGGCTAGAAGCCAGTTCTTTACTCCAGTGGTGGAATTGTTGGAACAGATTCTCCAAAGCAGTTGATTTTGTGTTGATTAATCCTTAAAAAAACTGCATAACTATTTGCTTGACAACAGGGATAGGTGGAGATTGAAATGAACAAATAAATGAATTCTGCGCCCTTCAGGTATCGGTCAGGGAGGAAGGGGAACAATATATTGTGTGAAAGAAGGTAAAGTCAGGGGGTGTATAGCTTTGCTTGATTTTATTTTGATTTTAGTTTGGAGTTCAGGAAGTAACTATACAATACTTTCTCCAGGTAAGAATGAGTGCTGGTGAAGTCAGTGGTAGACTTTCTGTGGTTTGTAAAAGAGCAGGCTTAATGTCCATATAGCATTTCTCATTCTTTACAGTGTCCTTGTTGTAGGAAAACAATTCTGCTGCATCTGACATACACTCCTAAATGATGTTTGAATCAATAATATGCTTCATCTATTTTGTCAGAATTCATAAGAACTTCTTAGATGTTTTAGTTGACATCTCCTGCTTTTCATTGCCTTTCACATCAAAGTAAGATTTTTATTATTAAAAAAATGAACATTTGTAAAAGCGTAATCAGAAATCTTCTCCACACTGCATGTCAAATTTCCACATCCCATAGTGTTGTTTGAATTTAATTACTTTTCCTAATTGCAAAGTACTACATAATGCAAAAAATCAGTCTATCATTCAATTGATTCAGCAAAATAGAATTAATATTATTTTTTTCTGTAAAGAATCATTTAAATAAACAACTTTTGGAAAGTATATCATTATGCATTTCATGCTGACCTAAAACAAAAAGATCCGTTGAACAATCAATATGCCATTGAGGTTTAATAATGTTTTTCACAGATCCTTTATATAGTAGATAGGATGGCTACCTTTTGCTGAGATCAAAACCAAATAGGATTAATACTGTGTGTTTCTACAGTTTGCGCTTCTAATAATTAAAATGGACTCAATATTTTAATAAACGGAATCATTTCATCAAAAGTAAACTGAGGAAAAAATAATATATTTTAAAATGGTACACTGAGAAACAAACTGTTCATTCCAAAGCCTGCCATATCTCCAACGTACAAAGGCAGTGTATTCTAAACAAACTGGTGGTCTATGTGCAGAATATCACTGTAATGTAACAGGCAAATTAACTCTAAATTAATAGGTTATTTGGTACAGAGTACAAACCAGAGTTTATCAAGCACACAATATTTCCTCCAATATTATATATGCTGTATTAGATAAAGAGAATTCTTCTCAGCTTCTGGGGTACTCTCCTTTAATAAGAGAAATTTCTAGACAGCAAAATAGCAAGTCGTTTTATCACACGCTAAGCACTAAAACTAGTAATTTTCTTATTATTTGTTAATATTGGGCTTTCCGATCATAAACAACTGTTAGCAAATGCTGGATGATGAACTCGATATATAACTACTATACCTCAAATAAATTTTAAATTCCAGAAGACATCTTCTATTCTAACAGGAAGGAGGTAGAATTTTGAGAAAGGCAAATGTGAAATGCTCAGGATGATCCTGTTTTTCACAGTAACTCACTGCACAAACTTCAATACAAATTGGGGTTGAGCAACACCATTTTAAAGGCAACTGCAGTCAATTGATTTGGACTTCTGCGGTGCAATTGATGCCGACATGACATGTGAATCTGTACAAAAATGGTGTGAGAAAGCCAGAGCTTGCATTTTTAAAAGTACCTTATCATCTCAAAATGCTTTGCATGTGATTACTACTCAGTGTATTGACTTCCTTTTTTTGCAAACAGAAACTAACATCTAATATACGTGTACTGTACTTGATTGCAATTCAACCCAATCTCCAGTCACTGCTCACACTTCATCTCCTTTGCTAGAATATGGGTAATAGGGTGCAAAAATAGTCTGTGCTGCTCCCTCTGGTGTCCACATCTAAAGTAGCATTAGCAAAGAACAAAGTAATATAGTGGCCATTTAAATGTGAATGTTCTCTTTATTACACAATCATCGTAGAATCTGAAGCATTTTAATCTGCTAAGACATTTTATTTTATTGCGACTGCAATCTTCAAAAGGTTGAAAGGCCATTATTCCAGTAATTGATACACTGCTTTGAAAAACACAACTGTACTGCAGTCATAGTTGAAAGTTACACAATGTACAGGAATACAGAACAAAAATAGAAAAATACAGTAGGTATAGTACATATCAGTTCCAGTACCCGAGACTGTTCCTGATAGGTTATAGCTCAAAGAAATAACAATTAAAACATTTTGTACAAAAGCTAATTTGATTTTTTTTTACTAACTGCTACTATTTCAATAGTTGATATAGAAGCAGCTTTGTTCAATAATTATTAAGCATTATTGCAAGATTCTAAATCCTCATTGCCTAACAAAATGAATAAATCATTAAAATAACTGTTTTCCCTTGTACCATATGGCATTTTACTATGAGCTCCAGTCACATAACCGTTGGACTGGAAGCTGTTGTGGTAGAATATCTCCCACTAAAACTAAAAAAGCTTGTTATAATTAAACACATTAACAAATGAACTCTCCATGAAAATATATATCAGTTATATCAACTCTGTATTCCCTTATACATAAATGCCCAAGTATTTTTGATTAGGCACAATATTGGAATTCCAACTCTGGTACAGGAATGGAAAGTACAAGCATGATTCTGTGTACATGGGTCACTCGGTTTAGATCCCAGTCTTAACCACACACCAGCGTGAAAGTAAAATGTATCCAGGCATCACAAATTCCAAAACAATTCATTCCTCTTTTGCTGTTTAATACAGTGAGAAGAAACTGTTGACGAACTAAGCATTCACTTGGTTTACAAATCTCAAATTTTATTTACACAACATAATTCAAGAATAATCGCTCAACTATCAATTTGTTTTCATTGATTATTCAGTTTACAAAACATTTATACTACAGAATCCGTTCACAGCAGTTTTGCCATTTGTAGGTTTCAAAACAGGATTTTGTAAAACTGCTATGAATTATGTCTGGTAAACATAATATGTCTAATGTGGAAAATGTTACACAATAACCATTGTAGTTTGTCAGATTTTATTGGCGTGTGTGTGTGGGGAAGAATTATTTCAATACAAATTTTTTATTTTTTTTCCCCAAAATGGAAGAAAATGAATTCACATTTTTATAGTAATTTTAAACTTCAAAGGTGGCCAACTTCCAGGTTATAGGGTCACCATAGGATGGATGTCACTGTGTGGGCACTGCACATTCTTAGGTAGTGATGTTATGATTTTTGCTGACAAAAAAGAAAATCACTACAAAATTAAACTAAAAACAATGAAAACCGACAACTTTACACATAATAGACCAAGTTGGATTCCACACATTATGTACTTGGAATATTAAATGTGGTAGAGATTTTGAGTTTGTGGCTTTCTGTAACCATTGATTACTTCTTCGACATCCTATGAAATGCTTCAGGTGTATGTTCAATACAGATAGTACATGGCATCTTCTGAACTTTACCAACCATCAGAAAAGTCTTCAATATATGTTACTAGCACTGTCAGTGATTTGAGAGATTTCCAAAATCAATTTTATTCCTCCGCTTTCTTCTTACTCTTGACGGACTTGGCCGGGTTTGAAGTTGTAGAGGGCTTTGAGGTTTTAGCTTTTGTAGGAATCACTTTGGACACAGCTCGTTTTGCACTTGTTCTTCCTTTCTGTTTCATGCGAACAAGGTCTTCATGTCCTGCCTCAATCATTTGCTCCTCCCAGGACTTAATTTCATTCTGATAACGGATTTTGTCATCCTCAGCTAACTGTGTGTACATCTAGAAAAGTAATAGATGGCTTGATTTCATTCCTTTTTGATATTTTGAGACATTATTTTTGAACTAAAAGAAAGTTATAAAAAGTAGCTCATGCACCTTTCTCAATTTAAAATAATGCTCTGTCTTTCTTTTTAAGCCATACCCTTTAAGATGGCGTTATAGACCACAACCAACCAACCATTCACCCACTTCAATTTGGAAGCTGGAATGTTCAATGCAAGGACGTTTCCAGGACTGCTTCAATACCATTTCTGACTTTCCAGCAGAAGCCAAAGCTTCTGTTGGACCAGTCAAAAGACAATTCTGTTTCGGTCTTTCCGTCCTCTCCCCAATTCACCCACCTAGAGAAACATTTATTTCATAGGATTCTATCCAGTGATCCAGCCAAAATTTTTATAAGATCTTGGCAGAGGTAAAGAGGCTGGAAAGATTTGATGCCCTCCAGTTGCAATCAAGTGCTTTTCCCCCAGAGATACATACAACAATGGGTTCCCTTAATACAAACATCAGCGAATAGCTAAATTCAGTCATGGCTAATTAGAATACCAGATCACTATGGTTTGTATACCACAGAAGATATTTGGGTTATAGTGGGCACTGTAAAAAAATTTCATTGCGATAATTCTAAAGAACCAAACAAATGGGGCTGCGCAATTCCTAAAATTATTAATAAATGCTCATTAAACAGGGAATAAAAGTAGAATTTTAATTTGTGAAAGAAAGCAGAAAGCAAAAATTGCTGTGAAACTTAAAATTCCGATGTTGATTAAATCAGAGTGAATTGAGAATGAAGTATAGTACTATTGTTGTCATCATTTATGTCAAAAGCTACACCAACCTTTTTTTGTGATTCAGGTAGACGGTGCCATTCATCCTGCAGGTTCTTCAGTTTAGCCTAAAAAATAAATTTTAGAAAGGATGAACTAAATGTAATTAGGAATCAAAACAGTCCCATTTAGGTGCAGGTGTCAGATGTACTAATTATGTTACTGTGCTAGGCCATTAAATCAGTTAAACAGGAAATGGTCTCAACAAAAAAATGTTATGGCAAAAATATACACTGTAAAACATCTAGTTAATAAATGAAGGTAATCACTCTTCTTTAAAGAGAAACCTTTGCCGTTGGTTTCCAAATGTAATATAAATATAGCAGCCCATTTCAGAAAAGGCAGATTCTACTGGATGGATATTCATCCACATTTATGTGCCACAGAGACAGACTCCATACAAAGAGCACAATGCAGAACAAAAATTTAATGGGCATATTTGTCTTGTTTGCAATCTTCCAGTCCGCAGAATATGGTATATGAGCAAACAAATCCAGTATAAATAATTGGTCTGTGAGCAACGGTTAACCCCTCAGGCACACAATCAACAAAAACTGATTAACATCAGCAAAATTTCCTCAAGTTGCAAACATTTCTAGTCAGTTTTATACAACTACCGGTTTATAAAATTGGTATTAACAAATTCTATACATAAACTCTAAATAGTCATTACTGTCAAGCATACCAATCTTTGGCAAGCGACTTGATTACTTTGTGTCATTTTTACCTGTACAGTAGAGCCTTTGGCTTCGTCAAAGTGTTCAGACATGAAGATATTAAAAGCTGTTCGGGATCTTTTGGGTTTACCCAACATGGTAAGCTTCTGCATACAAAATAAAACAATGCTTCAGATAGGTTTTAGATTTTTAAATTTTTTTTTAGGGTTATTTAAAAATATTTTAGGGTTATTTCCAGACCATTTAAAATGCTGAGCTCAAATGTAACAGATGATAAAGTGAGAAAACAGAGTGTAAGTGTTAGTCAAGACTGGAATTTAAACTGTTTAGTGACTTTAATTGGGAGTTCAACTTCTGTAGTTTACTGACCAGATTGTCCATAGAAAGGCACTTTCATCAAAAACGGCACTTACTAAATAGATTAGTAACATATACTTTGAATAATTTAAAACTCCTAAATATAGTAGAACCCCATTATAATGCACTTTGTTATAATGTGGATTTGCTCAAAGAGCATTTGGGACATGGTCCCTGATACTTATTTACACATAAAAATCTAAAATGTGCATGCTTGCTCCATGAAGAGATGATTTAATGGCCATTTGGCATCCCATGTCAAAAAATGGCCAAAATTTGAACCACTGCGCATTAAAGTGCCAACGAAGCAGGTTGTCTTTCTGTGCACAAGTTAATGTAGAAGCACCAGCCAGTGGTTGAGATTTACCTGCTATAATGCAGCACTACCAATGTGTTACTCTCGCGCACCAGGCTACGCGACCCCATCACTCCCACCTTCGCCCAACTCCACTGGCTCCCCACCCCGTAGAGGAACGAGTTCAAGATGCTCATCCTCATTTTCAAGGCCATCCATGGCCTTATCCCCTCCTACGTCTCTGACCTGCTGATTCCCTACCAACCTGCCCGCTCCCTCCGTTCAGCGGGCTCCGGTCTGCTCCATGACTCTCCCCCGACCCACCCTACCATCAGTGGCCAGGTTTTCAGCCTCTCTGGCGCCACACTATGGAACTCCATCCCACGGTCCCTTTGCCTCGCTTTCTCCCTTGCCTCCTTCAAGGCCGGTCTCAAGACTCTTCTCTTTGATCGTGCCTTTGGTCGCCCTCCCACCTCTCTTCCTTCCCTCACCCCTACATCACTCCTCCCCCATGCTCGGGCCCCGACACCTGACTGTTCAGCACTTCGGAACGTCCTCCTGACTTGAAAGGTACTCAATACATGTAATTTTGTTGTTGTTACTGAACACTTGTATTTTTTCAATGATTTGGGCACTTTACAAAGCTCAAATTCATATTGATTGAACATGTATTGATATGTTATTGGCTGAATTTGCTTTCTTAATAAAAGGCTTGGGAATTGGGAATCACAGGAAAATTTCCTTGGATAACAATTTGCACTCCTTGGAAAATACCAGATACATATTTATAGACCATGAAGAATGTTGTACTTATGCATTTGACGCATTGAAAACAATTACTTTAATGAGTTAAAAAACAAGGATTTACAGCTTTAAATAAACTGAAATGGAGAAGTATTGATTCATAAATAATTGGTCATAGTTGTACTCATTAAAACCTTCAAGTGTCTTCTCCTATCCCTATATCAAAAAGTAGCACAATTCATTTACTCCTGTTATTGTACCCTGGACATGTTAAGATTGATCTGGCATATGTTACCAATTTAATGCTCACCCGCTTTTGCCTCATTATTCTCCGTCTGGTCAGTTTTTTTCTCTTTTCTTCTTTGAAGATGGCCAATTCTGTTGGAGTGTGATTGGCTTTGAATGTTGCCACTTCTTCCTTATACTTTAATTTCCCTTCATTTGCAGCAATTTCATATGGCTGGAAGAAAATAATGTAAATACTTATTCAAAAATATTTCAGGCAACAGATAAAACTAATGCTAAGAAACTTTGGCTTAACAAATTTTTCACCTCTGCACTGTTTTACTCTATTCTCTTTAATATCTGTAAACGTATTCTAATAAAACCACCCTTTTTTGACCTTTCAAGTACTCTAGTTTCTCAATAACAATTTTCTTAATTAAACTAAAACAGATCACCTACCACTGTAGACTCCCACTTGTTTGTACTGCCATTGTCTACTTGAATAATTGTTGAAAAACAAATATTCTAGAAGCGCCACCACAACATCACTCAGTCTTGTGCCCCTCTGAAGTAAGAGGTCTCATTCTTTAGACTCGTCTGAGTATGTCTGTGTATGGTGTCACTGTTGGGTGTATGTAGAGGACAGTAAACCTAACATGCTGTGTGAGAAATGCATTGCTTAATTCCAATTAAGTTGCTTAAAAAGAATAGAATTAAGACTTTTTCACAAAGCACTCACTAACCAACCAATAAATTTGGCACTTATAATTCCTGACCGCAAAAAGATTTTAGGATTACGTTTGAATATCAATATATGAAGGGTGTAATTAAAGTTTCAGTTTTTCCTTCAACAATCCATATCTAAAGAAAACACACAAGAGCTTCACTGTACCCCATTACTCCTGAGCACCTACAATTAAGAAAGTTCTTACCTGTTTTTGTTCTGGTGTTAAGTGTCTCCATGCCTGAGCAATCTTCTTTGTTTTTTCTACTATTTTTAAATCTGTAAAGAGGTAATGGGTATTCTAAAACATGATGCTGCTTCCAACACAAAATTCCCACTGAAGTTACCCTGATCGAATGGCAAAATTCCAATTACAGAAATCAAGAAAAATTGAATATCTGGTGCATGTTGTAAGGCACAGAGAAACAGAGTGTTGTAAGGCCAGTTCAACAATTGATCCAGAAAAGGCCAGCACTAACATAGCTCAACTTGGTGATCATAAAATACAAAATAAGACCTGAGTACACATACTGTAAGTATGATAACCTAAAATTATAGCTTTCCTTCACTGCCAACTCGATCTGCATTTGGATTATCTTACCTGGAGCCTGACGCAATAACACACGATGCTGCTCCACAACATAGCGCAGGTAAGCAGACATTGGGCGCTTTGGAGGTGTCACGGAGCCTCTCTCCAGTGAAAACATTCGAAGTGCTGAGCACACATTGCTGGAACTGATGAGAAAGAAAATTCTGTAAAGAAATATATTCTCTCGAACGTCACAATACTATGTGTGTGGTCAAAATTTTAAGTCAGAAAATGTGCTTTTTGTTTGGATGAATACCAAATTTTAGGAAGGTATGGAGTTACTTCCTGTGTTCTGGCAAAAAAGCCCCCAAATAAAATTGGTCATACATTTCATGTGGGATATTGCTGTGCTCAATTTAGCTGTTGCATTGGCCTACAAAACACAACACACACTTTACATGTGTACTGGATCCATTCAAATTTTCAAGCCTGAGGTGGATAGATTTTTGTTAAGTCAGGCTATCAGAGGAGACGGGGCAAAGGAAGATATTTGGAGTTGAGGAAGACCAGTGGAACAGGCTCGAGGGGCTGAATGGCCTACTCCTGTTCCTAACGTACAGCCAACAAAGCGTTTTGAGACATCCTGCAAACATGAAAGAACTTTCTTTTCGACCGCGCCTTTGGTCACCTCCCACCCCCGGCTCGGTCCTGGGATCCGTTACTGTGAAGCGCTCGGAGACGCCGTCCGGCACGTGGAGGGCGCTGCATAAATCCAAGTTGTTGTTGTCATGAAAGAAACTACATTGAGCGCTTACGACTGTATTATCTTCAGTAAGTTAACGGTAACATGTCACATATCAGTTAACTTGAGGGGGGGGGGGGGGATTCACAAAGGAGCTCTGGCGGGTGCAGAAGGGAATATGGAGACACAGAATCACTGCAGGAACAGAGTGGGTTTGCACTGCATGAACAACATTACAGCAGAGCCGAGACCGAGACCCGTTCCCATTCCCGCGTTTCACGTCTCACAGTGACAATAGAGGGAGTTAGTGGCAGTGACCGCGTGTCAGACAACAGCCGTGAGCCCAGGCCCGGCCCCCGGCCCAGGCCCCCCCCGGCCCGGCCCCCCCCCCGGCCCAGCCCCCCCCGGCCCGGGCCCCCCCCGGCCCAGGCCCCCCCCGGCCCAGGCCCCCCGGGCCCCCCCGGCCCGGCCCGGCCCCCCCGGCCCGGCCCCCGGGCAGCGCTTACACTGCACCAACCTGAGCGCGGCCCGGCAGCTGCACAGCCCCAGCCTTTTACTGAGCACAGCGGCACCAAAGGACAGGAAGGACGCCATTCCGCTCCTCACTATCACTATCAGCAGCAACAACAACACCGCTACCTTCAGCTCTATTACCGTTCCCGCCCCCGGGGCTGAGCTGAGCTGCACAGCGCAGGCGCCAACACAACCGGCCTTTGTTTACCGCGCTGAGGATCATGGGACAAGGTCACCGTCTGCGACAGTCACCCCCTCCCCCCCCACACCCCCACACACACACACCCACCCCCCCCCCCCCACACACACCCCCTCCCCCCCCCACACACACACACACCCCCCCCCCCCACACACACACCACCCCTCCCCCACACACACACACACCCTCCCCCCACACCCTCCCCCCACACACACACACACCCTCCCCCCACACCCCCCCCACACACACCCCCTCCCCCCACACACACACACACCCACCCCTCCCCCCACACACACCCCCTCCCCCCCCACACACACACCCTCCCCCACACACACCCACTCCCCCCACACACACACACACACACACCCACCCCCTCCCCCCCCACACACACACCTCCCCCCACCCCCCCCACACACACACACCCTCCCCCCACACCCCCCCCACACACCCCCCACACACACACCCCTCCCCCCCCCCCACACACACCCCTCCCCACACACACACACACCCTCCCCCCCCCCCACACACACACACCCTCCCCCCTCCCCCCCCCCCACACACACACACACCCTCCCCCCACCCCCCCCCCACACACACACACACCCTCCCCCCTCCCCCCCCACACACACACACACCCACCCCCTCCCCCCCACACACACACACCCTCCCCCCACACCTCCCCACACACACACCCCCTCCCCCCCCACACACACCTCCCCCCACACACACCTCCCCCCACACCCCCTCCCCCCACACCCTCCCCCCACACACACCCCCACACACCCACCCCACACACCCCCCCCCCACACACACCCCCTCCCCCCCCACACACACACCTCCCCCCCACCACACACCCCCTCCCCCCCCCACCCCCCCACACACACCCACCCCGACACACCCCACCCCCACACACACACCCTCCCCCCCACACACACACCCCCTCCCCCACACACACACCTTCCCCCCACACACCCCACCCCCAACCCCCCCCCCCACACACCCCCCTCCCCCCACACACACCACCCCCAAACGCCCTCCACATACACCCAAACCCCCCCACACACACCCCCCCACACACAAATCCCCACCGCACCCCCCCACACACACACACCCACCCCCCCACACACAACCCCCCCACACACCAACCTCCCCCCACACCCACCAACCACCACCCCCCCCACACACACACCCAAACACTCCCCCACACACACACCCGTACACCCCCCCAAACCCCCCCCCACACACACCCCATACCCCCACCCCCCCCCACATACCCCATACCCCCACCCCCCCACACACACCCGCCCCCTTCCCACAACCCACACTCCCCCAAACACTCCCCACCCCACCACACACACACCCTCACAGTCTGTACTGTATTGAAGTGCAGCTCACCTATGCATTATCTGACTTCAGAGGTTTCAGTCAGTTTCAAGTTGCCTTTTATTCAAGGTTTCATGATAGGCACTGTTCCCTCTGATTGAGTTGGGAAGGAGTGGATTAGTTTAAATCTACTCACTCAGAAAATAAATGTAACTTTCAAACTGGTTAAAAATATCATGGCACACTGTTAATGTAGTTGTCACTATGGCAATGGTCAGTTCACAAAATAGTTAACAAGAATTTGCTAGGCAAAAAGACCATGGTCCATCTAGTTTGCCTTCCACCATCCCGACATCGTTTGACACATTGTGTCCCAAACTTTATATTGTATCCTGATATATTTGTCAGCGCCTTGGGACGTCCTCCCAACGTGAAAGGTGCTATATAAATGTAATCTGGTTGTTGTATAATAATATTTTTCTACCTGCCCAGTATGAGGAAGGGTAAGAATAATATTCACTTGATGTTTTTAAAATGTAATTTTGTTATTACATTGCAACAGTAAACATATTTATAGTTAAAAGCCTAATAAACATATTTATAGTTAAAAGCCTAAAATAACAAAATCAGTTCTGATCCAGATTTCTTGACTTTTTTTAATGGTTTGATTTTTGGTATTGGGCTTTTGGCCTTGGCTAGCACTTTAAAAGGATTGCTGCTGATGTACCTTCCTTGATTTGTACTGTTCTCCATGTAAACCGTGCAAAGAATTCATCACATCAAGTGTTATTTCTGCCGATGGCTAAAGACCCAATAGATTTGGTAATAGGGTATTCTCATTTATACTGTGGCCCAGATGACAACAAATGGGAAGGGTGGAAGCATACGTACAATTAAACATAACTGAAATGGATGGTCAGATTTGATGCGATGACATGAAGTTGAACCATTAGGGTCAGTTGGGGTAGCTGCAGGGGTATGTTGAAGGAGTCAATAACCAACTTATTAATAATAATAATCCTTGCATTTGATGCAGCACTTTTCACATCTTCTAGACGTCTCCAAGAGCGCTTCACAGAATATACTGTAAAGTGAATTGACTGTATATTTATGGGTGAAACACGGCAGCCAATTGCGCACAGCAGTGTCGCACAAACAGTGATGGATTAAAGTGACTAATAAGTCTTCCAGGTCTGTACTCACACAAAATCTCCTACCAGCAACATCTTCAAAAATACTGACTGTACCTCATAGTGTGTGTGTGTGTGTGTGCCTATGGATTGGGGAGGAGATGGGAAGAAAACACAAGAAAGGGAGAACAAAATATGTGATGAGCCAAGAAAATCCTTCCATTTTATCTGGTCTTAACACCACCTCTGAGAATAGAGCAATCCAAAAGTTGGAGTACATGGAGGGCAAAATACCTTAATCAGAAAACATTGTAGTCTTTAAAATATACACCTCTTGCTTCCAGGAATATAGACCGGAGGTGTGTGGGGGTGTGGTTAGTACTGAATATACACCTCTCAATCCTATGAATAGGTTAGAGAATTATCTAGCAGAGCCAATCAGTGTTTAAGCCTCCAAAGGAAACTTCTCGACTTTTTTTGAAAATCTCCACTGATTTGATCTCAACAAAACTTTTGATTCTTGCGCAAGTTATGAAAGCTAAGCATACATCACAGAATGGCAGGTCATGTTTGAAAAAAGGCATTTTAAACATTTTTTTCATCAAAAATGGAACATTTTACATGTTCGGAATCAGGTTAAAAAGTCCAAACGCCCGTTGGACACTCCAGAACCCATGCATTACAATACTACAATAGCTACTACTTGACCAGTTAAATGTAAAGCGAGTAGAAATGCAACTGAACAAAAACAATGACACCTGGAAAGGTAAAATACAGAACTGAGGTGAAGCAGCACAGTACATTTGATAATAAGTGCATGGATTGTCTATATATATATTTATATACACAAGCAAACACTTCATGGGCAGGGAGTAATTATATCTGACTCTGGTGGTATTGTGTTGACATATTGTATTTTGCCCACAAAATATAGTTAATTCACTTTACAGTATATTCTGTGAAGCACTTTGAGACATCTTGCAAGACATGGTAAAGCGCTACATCAAATGCAAGGAATATTATTCTTATGAGGCCTTAAAAGGATTTCCTAACCTATATATGCTAGTACAAAAACCCAGTAGTGTGCAAAGAATGAAATCCACAGACCACAAATTTAATAGATGTTCCCAATATAAAGAACTTAATCAACTTGGACTAATTTTGTGAACTCCTTTATTTGGACAAAGAAATAATGAATATGATGAGCCTTGTTGTAATTTTTAGGTTTAGGTACCACAAAGGTATTCAAGAAAACAACACCAAAAGATCTACAATTAACATCTGCCATCACTAGTTTCCAGAAGTGCAGTGAAACATCTTTCATTTGCTATTTTGCAAGAAACTTTATTTGCATTCTTAAGCCCAAACACTAATATTAAGAAAACCTGAACTAAAAAGGCAGCAGCATTGTGCCTTAAAAATACAATTTTAATATGACCAGCTGATGTAACCTAATGCACCTTCAGTATGCTGTGGACCAACCATTCTAGATAGGTCTGACCTTAGCATAGAGAAATGATTTTTTTTGGGTGGGGGAGGGAAGAGGTACAAGGGGATGGGAAAATACAAGTAAACATTCACATTTCATTAAGGGAAATGACAAATGCTGGCTTCTGGTAATTTCAAAAAGGATAAATATTTTTAAGACAGTCATTGCAGCAAAAAAATTAGTGTGAGGCAATAAACCTTTTTTTAAAAAAAACAAAGCACTGGTAACACATTCTGGTCTTTTTAATTACAAGTGCAACAGTTCAGTCCCTGCTGTATTAGATAAAAGGTGCAATTTACAGTAACAAGTATTTGATACATAATGTTCAACTAGCAGTTCAGCTGTGAGTTTATACTTTTTATAGTCAGCATCATACAATTCCTGATGTAAAAATGGAAGTTTGCCATGATTTCATCTGCATTTCAAATAATCCACAAGAATTTTTAAAGACAAAAACGTCCAATATTGTCTATGCAACAAGTGGTTAAATTCAATGAAACCCATCAGTGGAAAATTATTTGCAATTTTTCCGCTCTTAATCTTAAAATGGTGTTGAATGGGAAATGTATGTAAAATGAGATAAACTTAGGCAAGCATGGCAATTGCAAAATACTGGGGAGTGAAACTGATCTTTAGTGGTGAATGTAATGCAATAACATTAGCAAGAGCACTCTTTACCAGAGGTAGGCAATATTGTATACATGTCAAAATATAAACAGCCAGCATTATCACCATATACACTTAAAATTTTCCCCTAATAAAAAAATTGAAACTAGCAGATTAAAACATTTATATAACTAGCATGGAACAAGGTTAATTTAATTTGTATGATAAAAACATGTGATGTATTTGAGTACAAGGTTTGCAGAATAATCCAATCGATTGCACGATTACACGAGTTAAAAACAAACCCGTTTACATGCTTTAATAGATAATGCATTCTTCACTTTCAATAAATGAAGAGAATGCAACGATTGTATAAGGGTGATCCTTTATCCCTCGCAGTAATAATTTTCCTGTGCTAACCAAATTATATCCAGGTTTTAATCAAAATGCAGTAAAGTGAAAGGGATAATGGGTCTTGTTCATAAACCGTGGCATTTATCAAGACCATCAAACAACATCTGCTGAATCAAACTGCAAAGTAGTATATCAGGGTAATAAAGTGAAGAATAATATTGGGAGTGCTTACCAAACTGAGCAGAAACAACAAGTAGCATTTTAGTAGCTACCTACTTGCCATATTTGTTCATTTGACATAATTCCTACAATCAGTTTGTAGTTTAAGATTAAACAGTTTAGTGAACATGTTTTCCAGTTGCACTGTTTCAATTAAAGAAAACTTACAATATTCATATCACCCACAATGAATATTTATTGTTAATTGCATGGGTTCCAAATAGAAAAAATTGTTGCCATTTTTCCTTCTGCTGTGATGGTTGTTTGTACAACTGACATCAGTTTCACATTGCATACTTCTGAGTCCATTCTCTTGCTAGCCTGTTGTATCTGTGAACAATAAAAAAGATTATAATAAACTGTAACTCTGTTGTAAAACAAACTCAAAATCATAAAAGATTTAAATTTTCTCACAGGTTTTAACTTCTCTGATCCCAACAAGTTAACTTACCCACCAGAGATATTTTAAGAGAATAAATTAGGTTATATTTTAATTTAGTCCTGTTAAGCACCTGAACTGATGCTTCACTTTATACTTATGAGCAACATCTTTGGTAAGCCAACAAATGTTTCTTGATTGAATATTTCTTGATTTATGCTATTTTATTATTTCTACGATTATTTTGTGGGCCAACCAAAAAGGTTTGCACCACTGCTCAAGACGATAATTGTTTTAATAGTTAAATATTAAGCTTTGTTAAAAGTTTGACAGCAATATCTTTCTCTGCCCCCTAAAGTACTGGCTTTGTTTTGGTTCAGGAACCACATGTTTTGTTGTTTTATTTAAAAAAGAGAGAAGCAGATGGATGAGGACAAAATTGAAGTCAAGGATACAGATAGCCAGCTTAAAGGTGAAAGAAATGTGGAAATACATGCCTTCCTGAAAAAGGTTCTGGGAATGGGGGCATGGGAAACTATCTCATCCATAGCTAGAGCTTTGCAATACAGTATCTCCCTTTTTAGTTTTTTATTCATGCATTCTTATACATTTCTCTGTGCTGTGATTCCCTGTTGGTTCACATGTTACTTAATTGTACAGTTCTCAGTATCAAATCTTTTTTTAAAAAAAACTTTGTTGCTTCACAATGTTACTCTGGAAAGGAAAAAAAATGCAATTTTTNCCTCAAAAAGGTCAGGTAATGGCAAAAATCACGTACTCCTTAAAATATTATCAGTAATTTCAGAAACAAGGTTTGGTGCCATAAAACTCTTTATAACAATTGTGCAATTGCATTTCCTTCCCAAAATATTCTGGCTACAAGTTCCAAATAAGTATTTAATTTATTAAAAAATGGTTTAAAAACCCTGAGATCCAGACCAAACAATCTGTTAATCAAACAATCCAATGTAACTCATGCAGATCACTGGATACTGACAGCAGCTTGAACCATCCTTTTGGAAGTACCTACCCTCCACCTTAACAAATCATCACAGTATTCTAATACACTGCAACAATTTACAGTGTAACAAAGGAAATGTAATTGCAAATGCAGTCCCCTACCCTTCTGTGAACACAGTATAATAATAGAATGCACTACACCACCACATGTAGTTTTGAAACTTTCAATACCCATATTTGCACCGATAACCAAACGGGTACAGGCTCCACCACCTGGTGAAGCATTAAGACATAAAGACCAGAGGTCAAAATTTCAAATTGCAGCCTGAGTTAACTAATCTCAGGCAACCAGCATCTGGGGCCCTACAAGGGAATTCAGCACAGTCAAGACAAGGGAAGGAAGGAAAAGTCATGAGAAATGAAGGGGATAAAACTGACACAAAAAAGTAGTTCCACTCAGATGATAAGACACTACCTAGTGCAGAAATAAGACACAGCCAAACTCAGGAAAATCCCGTATTTAATCTCTTTTCTGTGCTATGTCAACTAATCTCAGCCAGGACAAGTACAATTGGCCATCGAAGGACACTAGAGAAAAAAAAACAGGGTATCTGTCCCAAGTCAGTATCCAAGGTTACTAGGCCCACTGCTGGCAAGTTGGAACATATAATTATCAATCTTGCATTTGATACAACATCTGGAATATAAAAACATTTCACAGGAAATTTCTGTAAAGTGTAGTTACTGTATTTGTTAGGGAACACAGCTGAATGTGTGTCATATCCCATAAAAAGTTATGAAGTGAATGATCAATTTTATCTGGAGGAATGTTTGTCAGAACACCAGAAGAAATTCCCTTCTCTTTTTCAATAGTGTCAAGAAATATCTTAAATGTCCAGATGGCGGTTTAACGTCTTGTGGCTATCTAACAGAAATAGGATTGCCTATGATCAAAGTTAAATCGGCAGCCAAAACTCACGATCTGAACTCACACATGAAGAAAGATCATTTAGATGAGATGTTGCAAAGCAGCAATCACCAGTGGAATTTTTATCCCAACACAATTTATGGGTTCAGGAGAGCAGGGAGAAATTGGAGAGGAAAAAAAAACATACAAAGGTTAAATTTTAGATGTCGAGTTAAACAACTAATTCTTAATGTGCATTTTTAAAAGTCTAATGAATTTAATTTATGTGACGATTCTCAGATTATTATCTAAACTTGACTGAAAACTTTACAATTTCAATCAGATCATTTCCATCCTATGCATATTAAACCGCAATCCACAACCTAATGAAAGAAAATCATGTGTGCTCGGTGATATTAAAGAAATAATCCACTTCTGCTTTTATTGCACCAAACTGTATTTACTGAATACAGTGAACCAATCCACAGCAGATGGTTAGTAACCACACCCATTGGGTACTTGATTCAACCTCTCTAGAAGTGAAAAGGACTTTACGGGTTCAGGCAAAAAATCTTGAGTTATATACATGAAAACAAAGGTACTCTGTGATAATTCATCTATAAATTTTCACATCACCTGGGTCTTTAGAATTACCTCAGTACCATTTGCCTTGGGAATTGAGGAGTTTTGACCAAGATTTCGATTGATGATTGCTAAATAGTGACTCCTAGAAAACACGCAAGCTTTAATGTGATATCCCCCACAGGCAAAGAACCCTGCTGACATTCATTGTTCAGGTCAGCATTGTTACATTTTTCTAAAGTCCATTATTCCAAGCAATATATTGTTCAATGGCTGCTACAAGAATTGTTCCAACGTGTTGCATCATAAAGTGATGGGGCCCAGAGTCTGCATCTATGAATTGCCTTAAAGTGAGCTACAAATTTCAATCTTGTAGCGGCCATATGGAAACCAAAGAGTTCTCCACAAGACGGGAGGTAAGAAAATATTAACTGGACCCTTTCTCTTCATCTACAAAAGCTGAGAGGGTAGCCTTGCCTCTGAACAGTATTCCCCTGCCTTCTTTTGTTGGAGAGCAAGAAAAGGAGAGGGACCAACCCTGAATTGAGGCCCAGAAGCACATGAACGGCAAGTCCACTGAAGGCCACAGGTGAAAGTAGAGACGAGGCACAAATGGCCTTGGGCCACATAACAGGTACCACTGCTCTAGGCTCACACAGGAAGATCGGCCACTTGCCCGAGGTACCAGAGGGTTGCCAGCATCCTTAAGGGCACACCCATCAGTCAGCGCCTTCAGCAGAGGAAGCAAGGAACATGGGAGGGGAAGGTCTCCCAGAAACTGTATGGAGTCAAAGAAGAAAAAAATACACTGGTTATAACTCTATTCAATCAATGAAAAATCATTTAAGAAGCATTTATGGATACCTAGATAGCTGCCCAACATGCCTATTTTCCAAGGCATCCCAGAGTCTAATAAAAAAAGATTATGTATCAAGCTTGATAAAACTCAATAAAGAGCTTCAGTTGCTTAAGCAACCATAGCTGCAAGCACACATATCATTAATTGTTTATAATATTCATTGGTACACATTTAAAACATGAATGAGCATGCTTACAAAAGGTAAAGGATATTTATTGTTGCGGTAGTCACCCTGTAACGTGGAAGTATACATATCTTTGTTCTCTATGCTGAGTTAAGTAATCTCAGCCAGGAGTACATCTGGATGACTCCAATTGGTGTCAGTGGTCCAAAGCGTCCGCGCGTGTGTGTGTGGGTGGAAGGGAAAAGAAAGAAATCCTCCCAACAACCTAGTTTCTGCTCTTGATTGCTATGCAGTGAATCTGTTGGAAAATACATGTGCGTAGGCAATAGGTGAGGGCAGGATTACGCCCCATAGTCAATCGGTCAGCCTTCACCATCTAGACTCGCACTTGAAGAATTACCACTTCAGTGTGTACTTGGAATTGTAGCCAACCAAACAACCAAAGAGCATCTTCACGAAAGGAGGAGAGATGATTGAAAACCATACACATGTTTACACAATGTGCATGAAGCACGCCATTATAAATGTGGTACTTACTTCTCCTTATCTGTTTTGTACATATGTGCAATTTCTGGCACCAGTGGATCATCAGGATTGGGATCGCACAACAGTGAGCAAACAGACAATAAAACTGTCAGGAAAAAAGAACAATGCTTATGACTCTTCACTGTACTTTTGAAACCCATTATTATTAAAAAAGCAACTGCATACATTTGGTTTGTGTAACTATGGTCCCCTGATAAACTTGAAAATACAACAAAATGTTCTAGCCTGTCAAATTCCCAAATTTGAACAGTTTACCATCGATAATACAGCTAGCGAGATAGTAAGATTAAAATCAATGTACCATAGTTTCATCATTTTAGATTATTAATGTAACAGAATTGCAAGCCAATTGAAACACATTTAAATATTTAATTACATTTCCAAAGCAAATATTTACCTAGTTAAATGAAAGAAATGAAAAATAGTTTTGGGGTAATTATTTTGCTGCTGGAAAAGGGAACATTTTCTTGCATCAAGATCATATAATCTTGGGTCAGGTATAGTCTGCGTTATATTTTTAGATGGAGGGCAAGCGAGAGACCTGGGTTTGATTCCCGGGCAGGGCGAAATATTGGGCAAGTATTCTGACTCCACACACCCGTTTACCTAACAGTAAGTAGGAACCTAGTTGTTAGTCGATTGGTGGATCGCTTTTCTGGGGCTAATAATTCCTTCAAAAAACCAATAATAATAAATTGGTCACTTCAATCCACGACTCTTTGTGGGCAATTGTCTGCCACGTTTCACAAAATAACAATAATCCTTCCATTTGATATAGAGCTTTTAACGTCTTCTAGACGTCTCAAAGCGCTTCACAGAATATGCTGTAAAGTGAATTGACTGTATTTGTGGGTGAAACGCGGCAGCCAATTGCGCACAGCAGTGTCCCACAAACAGTCGTGGATTGAAAATGACCAATTTATTATTGTTTTGTTTTTTGGAGGGATTATTATTAGGCATGTGGAGTAAGAAAATTTGCCCACGGTTTTGCCCTGCCTGGAATTGAAAATACAGTTAATTCACTTAGTATATTCTGTAAAGCGCTTTGAGACGTCTTGAAGATGTGATAAGGTGCTATATCAAATGCAAGATTTATTATTATTATTATCTAGACATCTATGATAGGGCATGTCAACCTCAAGTCCTTCAGTTTTTCATTGGCTGCAAAAATGGATCTGCAGCTAATGGATTTGCTAAAGTAGTTTGGCGAATTTTTTGTTTAAAAAGTACCTCCCCTCTCCAAAATGGATGTTAGGAGCAACAAAACCCAATGAGAAAGAGACACTATACATTTTAAAAAGTTAATGATGTAAAAATCATACCACAAAAATGTAGCAAAAGAATACCTTACCTTTTGATAATGTTAATGCTGGTGACCACTGTGACCGCAGAATATCAAGACATATACTTCCATTACTGTTTATGTTTGGATGATATATTTTTGTTGTAAATGCAACCTTTAAAATATGAAACACTACTGTTACATTCAGAAAAGAAGGTTTTTAATTTTTCAAATTCTAAAATACCTTAAATACAAATTACCTTTGGTGGTTTAAAAGGGTAATCTGAAGGAAAAAAAATTGTAAGGAAGAAAACTCCTCCTTGATATGGACTGTCACTCTGAAAAAGATAACAACCAGAAATGAAATGCAGATATTACCACCACCAAATTTTAAAAATAATAAAATTGCAAGAAAAACACTTTGTACTACAATACTTACAGGTCCCATTATCGTGGCTTGCCACTGAAACACTAAAAAAAACGGAGCAATGTTTAGAATGTGATGTTTCCCTTAAAAAAAACAAATTAAAAACTTAAAGTAAAAGTTAAAAACTTACAGTCATCCGCCACCGGCCCTGCTGAACACTGTGCTGGAGGATCAACTTTCAAGTCCTCTAATTCCTAAATTTTAAAAGAAAATTTTAAGTCAACTCTTGCTAAACCAACTGCTGTTTTACAGCTCCAAAGTATCTGGCTCCCAGAGCATATTTTTTCCAGAGCAATCTAATTTACATCAACTTCACTGTGAAGATTTTACATGAGATAAAGATTAACATGATTCAAAAGGCTATTCACCAAACTTTTAAAATTCTTCTCAATTTGAAAAGGAGAACGCCAGTCAAACAATATGAATCAAAAATATTTGTGGTTTGAATCATGAACATTTATTAGAAATATACACTTTTAAAACTCATTATCCAAGACTTTTTCCTCCCCAGAAAATATATATTACTGAAAAATCTACCATGAATATACAATTCCCACTCAGGTACAGTGCAGAGATATAAAGCATGTAATGAAATCATTGTTGTTTTAAACACAATCATACAATTAAACAATGGAGATGGGATGCCAACCAGCTAGCCATCCAGCCCCCCATCCCCATGACACAACTGCATATTTGCCAGTTTCTTTTCTCCCGACTCCAATCATCACAAGACGACTGTGAAAGCTTCATGTAGAGCCTTTGGTATAAAATAAAGGTAATATTTTATTACTGTCAAAAAGAAACAGAACAAATATGCATGAAAGTGAGAAACAGAGAGTAACGGAAAGCTATAAAGCATAATCTAATGGATCACTTAGTCAGCATCAGCTAGGGCAAGTGACATTAGAACATGCAAGCTGCAATTGTAGGCTTTAATTGGTAATGTCAGGAACATAGCAAAACCTCTCTAATGCCAGTTTGTAATGCAAATTATAACTCCCAATTAGCATGTACAAACCATTGATATATCTGAACAGACTGGCATTTTGCGAGATTACATGTTGAGCTGACAGATGTCAAGGCAAAATACAGGCGGTTAAAGACACAGGTTAACAATCTACCTCTTCTGGAATGAACTTACAGGACATTCTACCAACACTGAAGCATTCCAACAATTAATATTTAAGAAGCTTGCACTGCATCCTTAATTTTCATGGTTACAAATCTCATCTTTTGGTTGAGAGGTTCATACCGAGGTTCCGACTGCCTGTTCAGATAGATGTTAAACATCCCATGGGAGTACTTGAAAAAAGCAGGGAGATTCTCCTAGTGTCCTGACCAACAATCCTACAGATAAAATTAATCATTTATTTTATGTCTGTTCATGGGACATTACTTATGAGCAAATTGGCTCCTGTGTTCGCCTACAAGTACACAGTCAATACACTTTGCAGAAAAACTAATGCTTTAGTGTGATAAAGCACTATATCAAATGCAAAGCATCTGATTATTACCGGAAAGAAATTTAATGATTTGAGCAGAACAGCACTTTCGGTATCTTGCATCATTTACTATTTCCAATGGAGGTGGTGAATAGATTGAAGCTGCCCATTTCTGCCCACCTGCAGCTGGATTTGAATATCAAAAGCAACCCAAAGGGCACTGAAAGATTGACAGTGCATTTGGTCTCACTCCAGCTGATCTAAAGGCTGTATCAGATGACTTACCGCTCTCTGTATGACAACACATTTTTATTTTTAAAAAGTTGGGATTCTTTTCATATACAGTATAGATGCATCAAATACAATTATGTGGGTGGGGAGAGGGACATTTTCCTAAGACTAGAATTAAAAGTTCATTGTTGTTTATTTTACAAACAGGCTACACATAAACGTATGTTGACATGCATGAAAGTCCAGAGAGGTGAACAGGTTGAAGGGCCCAAAATTAAAAGCAGAATCTCCACATTGATAGTCTGTTGTGACAAAGTGAAAGAGTATTTTGCAAGACTCAAGTTGAATGCTCCAGGTCTGTCAGCAGAGAGCTTTGATTGTCAAGTCTAAACAGTACTCGCATAGGACTAACACAACATGCTGGGAACAATTCTTAACACCGAATTTTAACCACTGCAGGAATAACAATGGCTGCTTTTGTTGGGAGTCTACTTTATATATTCACTACATTGGAAAATATTTCTTCAATTCTGTGGTATTACTTGAGGCTGATTTTTTTTAAACCTTTAATCCCATAGCATTGCACTTAAGAAACATGCAAATAAAATGACTTGTGTACCACATTAATATCTGACTAGAGTAAGAGATGCTATTTCAAATGTAAATGAATGGATCAAGCTACAGCATTGTAGCTTTGACCTCATTTCCCAGGCAGTGAATCATAATGACAAAAATGACTGTGAGCAGGCCATACCAGCTGACTTAGATAAAAAGGAAAGACCTGCTACAGTGGAGAAGATTCCCCATTTATAATATAAAAGCCAGCTCATGGAGCTTAGAATTTAACACATAGATCATTGTCATTATGTCAACTGCAAGTTTAGCGTGAAACCGCTTAAAACATGAATTCCTTTGGCATAAATATCATATACACCATCTTTTTTGAACAGTAAGCATAGCAACTGTCAACAAAGCAAGTGAAACTATTTACTAGATATTCATTCCAGAAAACTAGATATCTAAAATACGATTTAGAATACTAGATAACTACCATTTTCAGGCATAGTTCAAGCATAAAATAACGCAGCCCTTTTTAAACTGCAGTTGCAAGATTTGCATTACAATTAATTAAGACTTCAATACAATATTTGGGAGCGATATTGCTTTAATAAAGGCAATATTAAGCATTGTACTATTTAATCGTTTCATATCCTAACGATATTCTGAAAATCAAACAAAATTGATTTGAAAAAAATATATAGGCATTAAAGTTACTCTGTAATGAGTTACATCTAAAGGCAGACAGAAAAAAAAGATTTTGAGACAATAGCACTATATGACTATAATATACTGCACATGGCTGAATGTTTTAAGTTTTCATTTTTCCCAAACTTTACAGATGGAGTTATTCACAACTGATGTTCAAATTTACAAGTTTTATGCTATGGGCATCCACTCATCCAACTTGCATTGAATCTGTGTTAGATCCAAACCTGAGTGCTAGGATAGGGTCCGAGCAGATGATTGGATAGTGTCCCAAATGACTGCACCCAACAGTACCCTGGTCTGAATATTTGGAATCATAAAAACTGGACATCAATTGAAGGCAGTACCAGCTGATTTAAGAATCTGCACGAGGACATTTGAGTTTTTTTTACATAAAAAATTGTATTTTTCATTTTTGAAAACACAATACAGACACATCTAAAATAATAACAAAATGGGAGGAGAGGAAGAGAATTAGCAGCTCATTTTCATTTACTTTACAAAAAGACTGTACAGAAGAGTGTACCACTATTTATAAAGCCTACATTTGTAAAGATTATTTCAAAGCAATTTTTCAGTGGGGGAGATTATATTGTATATTATATTTTATTGTTGGCATGTAAACCACTGGATGTGGAAAATGCTTGAATGATTTTACAACACAAAATATAAAAAAGTGTTCATAAATGAGAATATTATATACATTTTACAAAAATATTTTTGGAATATCTCCTACACTCATTACCTTCCCTCATCCTTGCTGTACTCGCTGACAGAAACTCAGCAAATTGAGTTCAAGATCCTCAGCCTGACCTTCAAACCCCTTCATAACCTGCCCCTTTCTATCTTTGTAATCTCTTTCAGCTCTCCTTTTTGTCCATGTCCAACTCTGATTTACCACTCATTCCTCTCTCGGCTGGCTCAGAACAGTGGTCAAGCCATCACCTTCTATATTCCTGCTTAAAATCATATACGTTTGATAGTATTGATCTCCTCCCAACCAGCATAGGATGAGCTATTATGTCCGAATCCTGACATGGTAGCAGAAAGAGCAATGGAAATTGCACATCAAACTATTGATTGTTGATTTTAAATATAAAAATAATCCTTGCATTTGATATTGCGCTTTTTACATCTCCTGGACGTCTCAAAGCGTATACAGAATATACTGTAAAGTGAATTGAAATATTCACCATTTTAACACCAATTTAAAGCATAATACTCCATAAACCTCAACCAACCCCAGGAGACCTTGCCATCATACCAATATCAGGAATCATTTTTCACTGCATTGAAATTAACATTGGTACAATAGAAATTATTAAAAAAGAAACCCGAAAGATTTGAAGATTTTCAATATCTCCTCTTAACAGAATCGCAAAAGTACACGTGCACAAAGTAATGGTACTTAATCATTCATAGAATTTCTGCAATAAATAATAATCCTTGTATTTGATATAACAAGAATTATTTATCCCAGAAATTCTACATAAACGCAAAACATTTGGACTTGGGCGTAGCGACGTCTCTGTACTCCTAATGTAGAAATGTTTTATTCCTGTAAACGTACTAAAATACCAATAAGAACATTTCACGTTTGTGTCCGAAAGCGGCACTGAGAAAAGGGATGGTTTTGTTTCTTGCAGCAACTAGTTACACAATCTCCATCTTAGGTTTCTCGTCAGAAAGGTCGACAAGAGCAGAGCGTTGCCGAAGAACTCCAGATATAGCCGTCAAACTTACAGCAACGATTGATGCCGTTCGGTTCAACAAAAAAAATCAAAATCCTTCCTTCAGCCCAAATAAAAGCATCGGTGAGGAAGATGTGAAGAACGGGTTAGCTGTTATCTGACTGATGGGCGACAGAGTCGATCGTAACCGAGCTAACGACAGACAGTCTTTGTGAAAGCCCCGGGGGTGGGGGGGCGCCGAGTAACTCCGCCGACCGCCGTGCGCTGTGCGCAGGATTATGCCATTTTTTTTTTAGCTACAAGGTCTCCGGGAGAGAAGAGTGTCGGCTCGGCCGCAAGGAACCGGTCTCACTCCCTTGGCCTCGGGCCACCCCCGAAGGAACGGACGTGGGGACGCGGTGCCGCGAAACAGGCGAGAGAAGCGGCTGTGGTGAGGGAGGCCGGGGAGGGAGGGAGGGAGGGAGGCGGACTGGCTGTTAGGCCCCGAGCGCCAACGTTTGCTTCTCAAATAAACCTCCAGGTAAAAACCTTACCTTGTTTATCCTCTTCAAGGCCATAGTGAAGTGTTGGTATGCGGGAGGCTACACTCACTCACTCTGTTCTCTCTCTCTCTCTCTCGGGCGGGCGGGCGGCCGGGCTGCACTGACTCTCCCCAAGCGGCACCCTAACGAGATTTTCCTCTTCACCGTTGACAAGAAACCAGGGAGACTGCGCACGCGTGGCCCCGCTGCCCGTCGGGGCGTGTAGTCCTCGTTTCCCGCCTGTCGCATGGAGGGGCGGCGTGTCGGGACTACACTTCCCGACACGCTCCTGGAGCGTGCGTTAACGTCATTGAGCTGTCGAACTTTCCTGAAGCATCACGGGCAGCCTTTGTCACATGTCGCTCGGCGCCACAGAGCGCCTCTGGTGGGCGGTCTCCAGGTACTGCTCTGAAGAAAACGTAGACTAAGAAAAGGCCATTCGGTCCAACGAGTCCATGGCTTCCGTGTGAATCCGACACAATCTACTCCACGCTATCAGGAAAGGTTCTTCACAACGTCTCTCTGGAACCTCAGAGGCCAACCTGAGCAAAACCCGAAACTAACCCCACATTCTTTGGCGTTATATTTTCCAGTTCCCAAGAAGTTCAGGGCATTAAAGGCATTCACGACACTTGTGGGCTGCTCCTTTGTTAAAGTTAAATGCTTATTGAGCTGCAGAGAGAGAGGAAAACTGTGTTATTCTGGATTCATAACATTGGTCTTGTTAATTGGTGAGTTGAGTTGAGGCTCTTTGGTCCTGGAGAATTGACAGCTGTTACAGATAGGACTTGCTTTAATCTCACAAGCTGTCTCCTGCTGGGTCTGTGCTCATGATTAGGCCACACCTTTACTTATAAGAAAAAAATCAAGCTTGAGGAAAACAAGCTGTTTACTATCAGGGAAATGGTGTCTCAGTACTATGTAGGAGTCCTGTACAACAACAACAAAATTACATTTATAGAGCGCCTTTAACATTGGAAGGACGTCCCAAAGCACTGAATGGTCAGGGGTCGGGGCCCGAGCATGGGGGAGCGGTGGTGTAGGGGTGAGGGAAGGCAGAGAGGTGGGAGGGCGATCAAAGGCACGATCGAAGGGAAGGGTCTTGAGACCAGCCGTGGAGGCAAGGGAAGAAACGAGGCAAAGGGACCGTGGGATGGAGTTCCAGAGTGGGGGAGCACTTGCCTTGCAAGCGAGAGACCTGGGTTTGATTCCTGGCAGGACAAAACCTTGGGCAAGTTTCCTTACTCCACATGCCTGATAATGGAGTCCTGTAGCTCAGTGGTTAGAGCGCTCACCTTGCAAGCATGACAACTGGGTTCAATTCCAAGCAGGGCGAAACCTTGGGCAAGTTTCCTTACTCCACACACCTAATAATAATCCCTCCAAAACAGCAATAATAAATTGGTCATTTTCAATCCACGACTGTTTGTGGGACACTGCTGTGCGCAATTGGCTGCCGAGTTTCGCCCACAAATATAGTCAATTCACTTTATAGCATATTCTGTGAAGCATTTTGAGACATCTAGAAGACATGAAAAGCGCTATATCAAATGCAAGGATTATAAATATTATTATAATAATCCCTCAAGAAAAAAATAAAATAAATTTGGTCACCAATCCATGACTGTTTGTGGGACACTACTGTGTGCAATTGGCTGCCGCATTTTGCCCACAAATATAGTCAATTTACTTTACAGTATATTCTGTGAAGTGCTTTGACATGTGTAGAAGATGTGAAAAGCACTATTTCAAAGGCAAGGATTATTATTACTATATACTGTATTCTAGAGAAGCAAGAATATGTTCTAGTTGTTCCAAGCAGAGCTGTTTTAAATAGATGCATTGTATTATATTGTGTTGTTAGCAATATATTCACTGTTTGAATAGAGCTTGGTTGCAGTGGCATATGACCACCAATATGCAAAAGAATGGGTTTGGGATCATTGTTCACTCTTCAGATGAACATAGAAACAGGAGTAAGCAGTTCAGCCCCTTGAGCCTGTTCCGCCATTCTATAAAATCATGGCTGATCTGTATTCAACTCCAATTACCTGCCCTTGCCTCGTATCCCTTGATATCCTAACCTCGTCGCAAGGTTACTTACAATTCCATGCTGCTTTTCTCTGATTAGCTCATACTTGTCTAAGTGCATAGTCACACTTAGTAAGGAGTGATTAACAATTTTGCATCTTGGAACTGTTAGGGTGGTGATGCTACTGAAAAAAATGTAACTGAGTTACAAATGTTTTAAAAATCTTATTTTGTAAAGCTTCAATATATTTAGTAGCGAAATGTCTGGAAATGCCAGGGGTTGAATTTGGAGCTGGCTGTAGTACTCCACTACTGAGCCATAAAGCTCAAGCTGTTGCTAGTTGATAAATGTTCTATGTAATCTCTAGACGATACATGCGAACCAGTATATATTATGTTTATAAAACAAATCTCCCATCAGCAGCAGCAAAATGTGCTCTTCATCTGATCTTAGTACTCCCAGTCTAAACACATAATGAAGGTGATGGTCATTGCAAACAAAAAATTGTCTTCACAGACTTATGGATAATGTTTCCAAAGATTGCTTGTGAACACAATGAGCATTGAATCTTTTGAGCTTAGTATGTTATTTAGGTCCATTCAGACTTGCTTTAAGCGTACCTTTCAATAATACTTTAAACCTCTACAGTAAGATTGGAACTTCATGATAGCAGATCACATTACAACAACTTACTAAATTGGAATGATGTACAATTAAATAACATTTGCCACTTGTCATTCCCAATTCTTCTGGATCTCTCTGTATTTGGTCCATTTGTTCCTGTTGTTTGCAAACTTCTCTTTAACCTCCTCCCCCTTCAAGTTAGTATCCTTAACACATGTAAACAAAGAATGCTTCGTGTGGGGTGTAATGTTCCTTGTAGTAATGCGCACAATGTTATAATTTTCATTCAAAAAAGTGGTGTGTCTGTACTTCCCATTCCTTTTGCAAAGTAACCTGATGCTGCCATTTTACCAAAGAGATGAAACGCTAAACAATTTATGCAAGCAAGGATTGTTGTATCACAAGTTTTAATTAATAGTATAATTGGGTAGTTTGGAAAATTAGTTGTTATAGGGTTTGCGACTGAAATATTCACAATAAGTGGATAGTCACAGATGAAAATGTGTCATTATCAAAATTGCCTGAGCTACTCACCTGTCATCACCAATTTTCTCTTCCTTATTTCTCCATTTCTGAAGCCATTTTTGATTATATTTTCCTTGTGATTTTGTGTGTGTTTTTTTGTTGTTCTATTCTCTGGTACTACACTCAAGGAGTCATTATTCGTATCTGAATCCTAATGCTGAGTGTACACAGGCTTTTCAACCACATCCCAATTCTATCTTCATCAAAATCAGAAACCTGAGCTATATTTCCCCTCCCTGAACCCAGTCACTGATGCTAATTGCAGCATCTTTCCCCAGTAGAACTCAGCACAGCCAAGGATTTAAAATTGCTTAGTGCTATTCTTATAGGTGGTGATTTTATATTGTAAAATAACTACATATTGCCCCAAACGCCAAACATATCAGGTAATCGCATAATTGTCAACGTAGTCTCAGTGTATCTGTAGGCAAACGGGTCAACCAATTTGTGAACAACAACAACAACAACAACAAGATTACATTTGCATCGCGCCTTTCACGTCGGGAGGACGCCCCAAGGCGCGAACACCAGGGCCGGCATTGCGAACGGGACACATTTATCTGGACCATCGTTGGGTCTCTGACACCGGGAAAGATGCCCTTCTCGTTTGGAATACTGCCATCGGATTTTTTTCGAAAAAAAAAAAAAATTTTTTTTCCCCCCTACTTGATGATGGCGCCTTCAACAGCGCAGTGTTGCCCCCCCACCCCCCCCCAGCACTGCTCTGGAGCCTCAGTCAGTCAGTCGGTCAGTCTGCACTGTGAGCTCCAGCGCCAACGTTTGAGAGCTTGAACTCACGGAGCTGCTGACACAGACAAGACAGCGAGGCGGACACGTCCCACTGCGCCATCAGGTTCGGTTAAGAGCTTTCCTTTTTTTTTTGTGTGTGTGTGAGTTTATTTATTTGTTTTGTTTTGTTTTATTTGGGGGCGAAAAAAAAAGTCACGGATAAACCAACGCCGCCGCTCCCGGCGGTCAGGGCGTCTGGCGGTGACGTCAGCAGACCCCGCCTTCCGCCCCGCCCCCCGCCCCTCAGCACGTGACCGGGAGCTGTGCGTCGCGCGCGCTCGTGCGCCACCGGGAAAGCAGCGCAGTCAGTCATGGTGAGCGGTGCGGCGTTCAAAGGTATGGGATTTTTTTTTATTTTTTAACTGGAAAAGGGCGGCTTTCGCGGATGGTTCATAACGATGGCTGCGATTTCTCGAAGCCACGCGTCCCGCGGTATGGAATAGTGCCCTCGCTCGCTCGCTCGCCTTTCTGTCCCTGTCCCGAGCACTTGTTCTCTGAAGGTCACGGCGAGCGGTTTTTTTTAAAAAAAATCCGTGCAGCAGTAGGAGTCACCTTCAGAGGCCGCTCACTCCCCCCTTCCCTCCCGGAGACGAGGGCTCTGATCCGTCACACACATCTGTGGTAAAGGATCGCCGCCCAAACATTTCTGGTCAAGTCCGTACCGGAGGCTGCGCTGGAAAATGCGGCAGCGCCGAGCAACGAGGTGACGATAAAGCCTATTGTACGTGTCCAGACTTTAGACCGTCACTGATCGACCAAACGTTTTTTTTTCTTTTTTTCCTTTTTTGCGAAGTCCGGTTTACGAGAGGAATAAAGCGAGACATAGATACCGCGGTTAAGTGTCGGCGTGTGCTGCAATGGTGCATCACATGAATTGTAATAATCCCTCGTTTACCTTTTCACCTGCATCTTTTTTGCTTTTCTTGCTGATCAACTTGTGGTTCCTAAAGCCCCAATTCTCTGAATTGACTTTATGGTATTTGTTAGCTTATTGAATCTCGTTCTTTTTGCATGGATGTGCGCGAACGGCGATCCGTGTTTTGTTCAGGTAAAATATGTTTCAGTGTTTTCTATTCTGCAATGGTGGTGGAACACGACAAAGAACTGATTCAACCGTCACGGTTGTGCTTACCAATTTTCATTCCTTCCACTTTGGATTCCCTGAAATTTAAATGAGTTCAAATTTCACTACTCAGTCAATGCACAAACCAGGTTAGTTATCCACAGTTGTAGTTTCCAACATTCACTCATCTGGTCAACATTGACCTTAGTTTGCAGAAATCCTGGACTCACATGCCAATTATTCTCCTTTGTTATTTGCAGTTAGTCTGGGTTGATCGACCAGGTAAATATTTACATAATTGACATATCTGCACAAACAAGTCATAGATAAAGATGTGTTGCATGAAAATGGCCCTTCATATTAAAAAGCATTAAACACTGTCAAGCGGTTTGGATTCTTACACTTAACAGCATGTTTTACAACAATTTATTACAACCAGATATTGTAAACCAATTTCCAACTTTGTTGATGATCCTAAAATACTAAGTAAGCAATGAGGAGAGTGCAACTAGATCGTATATAAGTTATAACTCAATGTTTGATTGCATTGAAAAATACAAGTGAAATATTGTATTACATTAGTTGAGGGATAGAATACAAAATGCACAACATCTTTACATTGAAAACACTTGGGAATCCCAGACTGCTCTCTGAGGCACTTTGTGACATCCTCCCAATATGAAAGGCACTATAAGAATACACAGTTTGTTGTTAATGTACTTCATACCACAATAGAATGAAACACCAATCATACTTAGTGTTGCTCCAACTTGGAAGTGGTACAGAGTAAATTGATAATCTAAAAGCAATCGTGCAGAAAGCTTTACCAAATTAATTGCCGTGGATTTTGTGGATTATGCAATCCGTTTATATTTTTAAACATTCTACTGCTCCACATTGTGAGTTGATTGTATATTATAGTTTGACATTATCAGCCGAATGGACTGAATTTATAATAGGTTTCTTATCTAAAATCTCTGGATTTTTGTTATTTTCTGATACAGAATGGGTTGCAGCAGCCTCGCTGACTGTTGGTGCAGCGGCCATTGGCTATTTGGCCTACAAAACATTATATTCAAAAGACAAAGGCTCTAAATTGCTGGTTAACCTCGACATCCAGAAAGATAATCCTAAAGTAGTACATGCATTTGATATTGAAGACCTAGGAGACAAAGCTGTATATTGTAGATGCTGGCGATCTAAACGGGTAAGCATAATTTGACTTTCTTGACACATTTCTATTGGTGTGATTTTATCAATCGTTGAGGACTAAGGCAATAATAATAATAATACTTACATTTGATATAGCATTTCATTGTATTAAGACATCTCAAAGTGCTTCACAGGATATACTGTAATTGTATTTCGATTGTATTTTGTGGGCGAGGGTCAAGAAATTATGAACCAAAAGATTAATGATGAATCTTGCAGCGAATTTAGTCATGTTTTAAGCCAGAATAATACAGGGTTGTAGAACCTGGGAAAGAGAAAACTTTCCATTGTATGAATTACTATTTTTGTTTATACTATTCTTGCTTCATCAGCTATTGACCTTGAGTACAATGGTTGGAGAGGCATGTGAACATAGAAAGACCTATATATACGTAGTGACTTATTGTGGATAAGAGTTCCATCTGCCATTACAGATTTCTATATGGATTTACAGAGTACGTTACAGCACAAAAAACAGTCATGTAGCCCAAGTAGTTTGTGCAGGTGTTTATACTCCACATGAGTCCCACCCCTCCAAATCCTCTCTCCCGTATACAGTCAAAACTGCTCAAGCAACCTTCCCCTATTAACCACCATGGACAGCCCTGCTTCATCCACCAACAAACCCTTACACAGAGACCGCTCTTATATAAAGGCCACTTTGGACCAGTCTCCTGAGTGCTTTTTGAATTCAGGATTGACGGTACCTCTATTTCCTTTTCCCTCATGTATGCACACTTACATTCTAATCAAATAAATGCATAATTGATTTCCTAACAAGCCATTTTGTTTTGGCCATATTTTCTGAAGTGCTAAAAGCTCAATTGATATTGCGAATAAATGTAAATTTAATTCTAACCTAATTATAAATTACAAATGGTATATTGATAATGCATTCTATAATGTTGTAACACAATACTTTAGCAGTGTAGGTGGAGATTATAAATAGCATCTATAAAATAGAAATACTTCAAAGGAAAAATGAGAAAGTTATCCAAAGGCTGTTTTGCATTTGACTCGTCAACTCAGAGTGATTGAGAGACCTGTCACTAGATTGCTCTTAGCATAGTTAACTGTAGGTGATTTGTGAGCCAAGAAACTGTCAAGAAATAATTTAATTCCATTGAAGAAAAAAATGGTATTGATGCAAATGATCCAAAATGTCATGGGGCTTCTTGAGCATTTAGACAATTTTAAAGAAATTGCTCTTTTTGGCAACAATGTTTTTGACAAAGAAATGGTCTCGTAATATATAATGTAAATCATAACTTTCTTTTCTGTTTTCTTATTTTAGTTCCCGATGTGTGATGGCTCTCACACCAAACACAATGACGAAACTGGAGATAATGTAGGCCCACTGATTATCAAGAAAAGAGAAGCATAACACAAGAATTGTTTCTAAATTCTGAGATTTATTTGTGTTAAAGTCAAACAATTGCAAAGGTGCCTGTGTAATATTGTGCTAATTAATTACTGTACATCAAGTTGTGATACAAAGTAATAAGGATAAAAATTGTGTTGCCAAATAATAGGCTTCAATATTCTGAAATCCCGACACTTGATGATTGTATAAACGCTACCTTTGCATTGATATACTGCTGTATTATGTTAAATATATGTAGTTATATTTACATTGTATAATTGTTTTTTCCTTTTATGTATAGTAAAATGACATTTGAATAGTAATACAACAATAACAAACTACATTTATATAACGCCTTTCACGTTGGGAAGACCTCGCAAATATCTCAAAAATGATCCTTTACAAATGGATCATTATTTTGATAAATTTGAGGAAAATTGAATAAATGCTTGGGAGTTACATAATCCTTGTGAAGGTAATGCAGATCATTTGATATAGTACCTAAAACATTGAAACACACTCTTCATAGGAATCACTGTCTCATGCAGTGATTATCTGACGGCAAATATTGTAACAGATTTGCAGACAACAAATGCCACACACAAACATCAAGCGAATGACAACATTATCTGGAGATTTTTTAGCCAGAACACAGGGGAAAATTTTCTTTTTAAATATTGTCATGGGATCTTTAACTTGCATTTGAACAAGCCTGTGGGACCTCAGTTTATGCTGTCATCTCAAAAAGGCAGCATCTCTTGGGGAGTCACCCTAAACTGTGAACTTGAGCCTGTCATGTTTGAGACTGCTACCATCTGAGCCAAACTGATGTTTCAAGTTTAAATTATTAAGTAAGGTTTTGTGACAATCATAACTGGAAGCTGATTACAATTTTGGAAATTTCCAAATTAACATTTAAAGGAAATATTACAGTGACATCTGCTGGAAATAATCAGCACTGTATTAAAAGATAAAGATCTACATGAGAATTCACTCTTCTTGAACTGAGTCTGGAGTGGTTTCTGCTCCAAATTACTATAAAAATATAAGCAATGCCCCATTGCTCCTGTAGCGATAACTAGGATTTATATTGGGCCAGTTGTTTGTACTACACTTGAGATTCGTTGACCTATTTCTTTAAAAACAGTGGGGTTTAATAATATTTAATAACAATCAATTAAATTCCTTCATTGATTGAATTTTACTGTATATTTTAATTGTTTCATTGGCCTCTCAACACATTGCTTTGATATTGGATCTCCTTCGCCCTAGGCTTAGCAAACTAGCAGGAAAACTTAATCTTGAAGAACATCGCTGCTAAATTTTGTTGTGGGTGACCATGAACTCTCCTACATTCAGCTTGTTTAAGCAATGAATAAACATAAATTTTCACATAAAAAATGAATTTCCCAGTGGGGTCTGCCATTATCATTAGTGCAATTAACTAAAAGTGACATTACAACAACAACAACAAGAAGATTCCATTTATAAAGCGCCTTTCACGTCAGGAGGACGTCCCAAGGCGCTGCACAGTTGGGTCATGACCCGAGCAGGGGGGATTACTGATAGATCTGCAACATCCCTGACTTGATGTCAGTCTGTACTTTCAAAGAACATGTGGAACTGTTTGTTATAAATCTGCACATACATCAATGTGATGCCACACACAAAATTTGCTTACAGAGGTATTAACATTGCAACGGCATTCTGTCCCAAGTTACAAAGTCAGCTGCGGCTATTTTTCTGTGGTTTACCACAAATTGCAGCAATCAGTCAATCAAAGTTTATAATAAGTCTATAATTTGGACAGACTGAACAATAATATAGTTTCTTAAAAAATGTGAATAAACATAACCCTAATTCCTATTCAATGCTGAGAATGATTTGTAACCACATTTTTCTTTAAATCTACGATATATTTATTTACGAATGGGTCAAGCACTTTATAGAATTTGTAACTTTCAGTCAGGAATCTGATTAGGTAAACAATAGACTTCAGTCTGGACCTGTAATCGGCTGCAGCTATTTGAATGAATCATTAATAGTATATGTACACTACACTATTCCCTTGTGACTTGCAGTGAAGTAAAATCTAATCTCATTCCACTTCACATCTCAATAATTCAAGTCACATGATTTGATTGCAAACGCCTGTCCTGTTTCTGTCCTCTAAGGTGCCTGCTGTCATAATTTTTTTNGCTGAAAGCGAAATAAGTGTTATATCCACGTATATCTGCATAGATTTAAAAGAAGAAAATAGAGGGGTTTGAGGAGAGGGGGTTAGGAGAGAGATTGGCTCACATGAAGTATAAACTCACTTGGTGGAATACAAAATTGATGCTTCAGTTTTACAAAGCCTTGGTCAGACCTACCTCGGGTACTGTGTTCTGTTTTGGGCACCGTACATTGGGCAAGTTTCCTTACTCCACATACGTGTTTACTTAGCAGTGAGTAGGAAGCCGGTTGTTAGTCGATCGGCAGATCGTTTTTCTGGTCTTAATAATGCCTTCAAAAAAGTAAACATAATAATTTGGTCACTGAATCCACAACTGTTTGTGGGACACTGCCGTGCACAATTTGTGCCGCATTTCGCCTCTCCGGCAGAACAAACCCGACCTGAACCTGGTGACCAAGTTCTCAAAGATCAGATAGTCCTGCGCGGCGCGCGCGCGCGTGAGCGTGTGTGTGAACCTACAAGTTTATCTCTGTTTAGAATCAATCCCAAAATGTGACGTTTGTGCATAGCTCCAAAAGGTAAAAGGTATGACAAAAATTAAAATGGGTGCAGCCCAAAAGTCAACCAAACGGTTGCCTTGAAGTAGCCCAACATGAGGAGTTGCCTCCTGTTGGTCAGCAGAGTGGCCAACTCAGGTTAGTGCTTCGAGACTGTGTGAGAGGAGGTCTTCAATGGGGAAAATAAAATACGTTTTGCGGGTTTCCATTAAAAGTATAAAAAAATTAGGCACCGTTTTTAATCACTCAGCACAAGACACACCCAACGCGCTCACTGGCACCGATGCTCTCACTTTGCTGCCCGTGTGATGGACGTGAGCGGCCGCTGGAGGCGCTGTGTGGGCGAGAGAGTGGGGGGTGGGGGGGGGGGGAAGAGAGAGAGAGAGAGAGGTGGCTCAGGCGCATGCGCGCTGACGGGTTCGGCTCCAGTCAGTTCCGGGGCCTCGAGCTGTGGCTGCGACGCGAGGGAGGCGGAAGCGCGAGGCTCCGGGCAGAGAAAGTTCATGGCTCTCGGGAGGCGGCGGCCCCCGCTCTGGCCCTGAGGCTCGGAGGCGTGTGGGGGGGGGAAGAGGAGGGGAGGGGGAGGTAAAGTGGGGGGGGAAGGGGCGCCAATGGAGAGCGGCGCGGTGACCCCGGGCGGCCCGCACCGCTTCCCGAACGGCTGCACACCTCTGAGCCACCAGGTCGCCGGACACAAGTATGGGAAGTCCAAGCTCGGTGAGTGCCGTCCCCCCCACTCCCCACTCCCCCACTCCCCTCCCTCTCCTCTCCCCCACTCCCCTCCCTCTCCCCCCCCCCCCCCCCAACACCCCGCTGTCTCGTCGCAGCACCGATTGGCGGCTCCTTCCCTCCCTCGGGCTGTCACACGGCGCCCTCCTCCCCAACTGCCATCTCTACCTCTTCCCCCACTGAAGCCGTTATTTACACCCTTCACGACAGGAGGAGGAGGAGGAAGGTGGGGGCGGCCTCTCGTTCAGTCAAACTGGTACCTGTACTCAACGGAGGTAGCGCCGCGCCCTGAGGCCAGAGTCCCCCCCCCCCCCGACACACACACACACACTCAGCTTCTGACCTCTTTCCTCTCGCACCTTTGACTTCTGTGGGATCATTCATTGGACCCTCAGGTGGGTGGTTTGGGGCTTTAGTAAAGGTCAAGTATCACCTCATCTTCTGTATTTTTATTTATTATAAGGAGAGAGAGAGAGAGAGGCTGAAGGGGGGAACTCAAAGTTTTAAACCTGGGGGGGTGGGGGGGGGGGGAAGCTTAATACTTTCCAAGGCAGAAGTTGCTCATTAAATGCGGGACTGTTGCTGTATGTGGACTATTTTGTTTTGTTTTACTTTTATTGGTTCTTGTTATGCTCCACTGAATTAGAATGTGGATTAATGTTTAATCTTGATCATCATTCCACGGTCCATTTTGGCCCCCACAGTTGCTTGCAATAATGAGCACTGTATATCCTTCCTTAATGTGGCCCTTCTTGAGATTGGGCAACTTAGCAATGAACGGTGATTCATTCAACCTCTACTGATCTCTGTGGCTATTTCACAATTGGCAGTGCTTTTACAACGAAGCTATCAAGGGAACCTTTTTTGGCATGTGTTTTTTTTCAAAGAATAAAGCAGAATTTTTTTTGTAGCTCTTCTTGACCTGTGACACCAATTTTCTAACTTGGAGTTCCTTGATTACTGGGGAAGGTATGTAAAGGCCAGTAATGCTGACTCCTAACGATGCTGGGTTCTCATTCTTTTGGAGAAGGAATGAAGACTCATTTTCGTTTACCTTTTCACTCTTTGTTGCAGCCACCCATGGACCAAAGGTAAATATGGGTAGGGCTAGCAATTCAATATTTTGATTTCAGGGTTAGGGGAAGAGGTGAAGTGCATTTCCTTCCTTCAAGACAGTGATGTGTGAAGTGAGACAGATGCTGGGCTACATTACCAAATCAGCTAAATTGAATTCTCTAGAAGTCGTGCTGAATCTATAATGTGCTGTGACATAAATAGGCGTGACACAGGAGAGTAACGAGGCAAATACTCAGTATTAAGAGGGATGAGTGGTAAGGAAAGAGGAATATATAAACTAGGGTTTTGTAGCATTGAAAAAGCATCTCAGAGAGGACGTTTATAGAATTATGTAAGAAAATTAACTGGATAGAAAGTAAATCCTAAACTATACTTGGACTAGACTTGTATTTTTTTTAAATAAGCATTCTGCTGTTGTGGGAACACCACAAATTGTCATTGAGTTAAAGTTTTGATTCAATATAAAGCCTCCAGATAAACAAGTGCGCATAGATTAATGTCTACTCCAAGTGGTATGTTGATGATTAGATTTGTGTAAGCTCTTACTATGCTCAATTTATTTTCCTCCTTACACTTGTAATTTTTCTGCGTGGTAAGATGTGATGCTGCAGTTTTTTAAAAATCTTAGTTGTGCTGTGAGGAGAGCAGAGTTTATGTACATTCTTACTGAAAGGAAGGGAAAATGAGCAGAGTACACTTCTTTCCCACATAACTATGTCTAGAAACATTGCCTATTTTGCAGGATTGAGTGGAATATAATACTGAATGACTAAACAAATGGTAACTGAACAGATGAAGAGTGCAAAATATAGCCAAATGTCATATATGCCTAGCTGGTATTGTCCAACTCTTTTTAATTTTTGTTTTGACATGTCTCCGCTCCAAATCTTGATGAGTTAAACCGTCAACTATGAACAACGTCTTAGATAATTAAGGGTTTTCTCCTTGGAACAAATATTGCCCTCAGAGGTTCATAAGAAATGCTAAGTTGGATACCACGTCCTGTAATACAGTATCTTGAATCTCTCTCTGTCCAACCTACCTGAAGGTGCAGTGAAGTTGGGATTGAGGCTTTGTTGGCATAGTTTTGTGCTTTCAGCTACTTTGAGTTGCTATCATTTGTATACTGTAATATGATTGCATTGACGTTGATGCAAGCCTTATTTGTGAATGTTTGAATCATGAACAATTTTGTATTATGGATCCATGGTCATCATGAATGGGTTGAGTTTGCATAATAATAATTCTTGTATTTGATGTAGCGCCTTATCACGTCTTTGAGATGTCTCAAAGTGCTTCACAGAATATACTGTAAAGTGTATTTTGTGGGAGAAGTGCAGCAGCGCACAGCAGTGTCCCACAGTCATGGATTGTGTGACCAAGTTACTATTATGTATTATTTATTTATTTTGAAGGGATTATTACCCCCAGAAAAGTGATTTGCCAATCAATGAAGTACCGGGTTCTGATGTTCTCCTAGGTAATCGGAGGAGTGTGGAGTAAGGAAACTTGCCAAACGTTTTGCCTGGCCCGGGAATCAAGCCCGGGTCTTGTCATTTGAGAGGCGAGTTCTCTAACCACTAAGCTACAGGAATCCACTTATTTAAGCTCATATAAGATCATTTTATGTAGGATTTTTAGAGCCTGAAGAGATATAATTCTCTTTACAACACATTTGAACTTTGCTCTAGGAGTGAAAGGACTGAAACTTATTTAGAAATAAATAAGAGCTGTTTACTTTTTTAAAATTAACTTGGGAAACATATGTTTTTTTGACAACGTCATAAGATATATTAGCAGTAGTGTTTGAATATGTACCCTGTTGATTACATTGTCAAAATTGTTTCACTTTTGGGTGAGGTGGAATCATAGTTTTACTGTGGGAGATCATTTTAGAAAACCTATTTCCTACTGATTAAGCAGTTTTCCATTTGAGGTTCAGAAAGGTGCAGGAAAAATGCCAATGTTTAGATGACAGTGTGTTTGTTTATGTTGAGATTAGGGCAATAATTTAGGATTGCCTTTGAATTTGATATATGTTGCTTCAAGGGACTTCTTAATTTGTACTTCATTGAAGCTTAGGGTTTTCTCTTCCGTAAACGTCTTCAGCACAATCGATTACTGGGGAAGAAAAATAAATGCAGGGGTGGAGATGACATTAGGATTTGGCTGTTGTCCATGTGCCTGTTTTGTTATCCCGCCCTGATATCTCTCTCTGCACCCCATCCCCTTCAATTTTTTNGAGCTGGTTGGACTTGACTTTGAGCAGAGGTTGATGTGTACCAATTCAATGGTTGGAAAATTTGCACTTTTCATTTGACAAAAGAGAATATTTTCCCACCTAAATCCTTGAATACTTGTTGGACACAATGATACTGTGAGTAAGAAGTTCAAACTATCAAACATGTTGGCTATTCAAAGATAAGAACTGAACATTGTAAAATTGGACATGTTTCCCACTCAGTCCTCCCCAAATTATATTCCTGTATCTTAGCCCTATTCTGTTTTTTTCCCTGAAGAACCAATAGTAATTGATTCTTGAATTATAAACAGCAAGGTTTTCTCAAGGCTGATAACAATCCTTCAGATGTATTTTATAATCTACACCTATGAAGAGCATTTTAAGTTTTCACATTGAATGACCAGCACTTCAGCTGATTAAATTCACTCCTTGGGTCAATAGCCGTTTGTGTTCTTGTTCATAGTTTCACTGGGGAATCTGCCAAGCATTGAGACAGAGTTATATCTTTTTACAGTAATTGCTTCTGTGCATTTCTCAAATTTAAAAGGATAAACTGGAGCCACATGTATCAATCCGATGAAGCAGAGTGAATCATAATGCTAAAGACATTTTGAGATTTTTTTCTAATAGAAAAATTATGTTTAATTTGTTTTTACTTCAGTATGAAGGTTCTGTCTTGAGAATTTTCTGTTGATAAAAAATTGACAAGGTGTATATTGAACCAAAAAAGAAAATTGTGTTTAAGTATTTTATAGTTTTTTTATGATCAAGAATTTGGGCAAATTCCAATCCTCATATTTAGCCAGCTAGCTACATGTGCAGGATAAAATTGATCTTTTTAAGGAGGGCACATTAGTTTGCAATAAAAATACATAGTGAAGAGGTTTGTAGAAATTCATTGCTATTTGTCCTCTCCTAGGTATATTGCAGCATCCAGACGGCACAGTCCTGAAACAGTTACAACCCCCTCCTCGTGGGCCCAGAGAGTTAAATTTCTACAATATGGTAATTGCTGTTTTGAATAGAAAATTATGCAAGGTGAAATCTATTCTCCACCTCACTATAAACCTAAATCTATATATAATCTATTTATGCACAGTTGCTGTAACTAATGTGCTGCATCAATATATGATAGATAGTGATTCCAATATGGTTGATGTGATGGACAAGGGAGACTCAGTCGATTCAATGCATTTTGGCTTTTAGAAAGATGGTGCTCCACTGATTGGTTTAAAAAATATGGGATGGGTCAGAACTTTGAAGTGGATCTGAGATTGATTGAATCAGAGGAAGCAAAGAGAATGTAACATTGGACTTCTGGGATTCCTCAGGGATCTCTGCTGTGATTCACAATGATTGTACATCTAGGTAAATTGGAAGCATCCAATTCAGCTGACAGTGGCAGATGTCATTGTATTTTGATAAAAACAATGATGAAACCAGGGAAGGGGAATTAGTGCAATAATAAGATGCACAATAATAGGCTGGATATATATATAGTGGTACATAGCTTTCTGAAACGGAAATGCAATATGCTACAGGAGTGTAGAAAGCAAAGTATAATCAAGAATAGAACAGAAGTCCTGGAAAGTAATCTGTTTCACAAGAGAGATTTTGTGGAATTTTGTATATGTACGCTTTAATACTATTATCTGTCTGCTACGAAAACAACATACAATGCAAATGGAGTGAATTAAGTAATGCTGTTGCTGGCGCAGGAGATTCCATATGGTGCCAAAAAGCAGCTTGGCAAGGTTGCTTTTTTCACAAAATGCAGAATTCAGTACAGTATTTCACACTTACATTTTGTCTCAAAGATCAATTTATTATGAACACAGATTTATCTTGAACCGCGATGCCCTTTTAAGCACATGGCAATTTAATTAAAACATGTTCTCATTTGGGACTTTCACCTCAAGGTTCATTGTTTTTTCTAATTACTTCATAAGTGAAGGATTTGCAAATTGATGATGTGCCTGTTTCTAAAGTCAATGAAGTTCTTTAATCAGAAAAGGGTCTTCATCTACATTTTTATTATTATTATTATTATTGGTGTCCTTAGTTCCACTTTGTTTTGACTTGAATATTTGCTGTTTTTCCTTGCTGTTTTCCTTCCAAAAAATAGATTTAATATTTCTTACCTGCATTTGACCATGTTAATGAGTTCTAAATCTTGGACCAGTAGAATATTTTTTAACTTCATAGAAACACAAATCATTTGTGAAAGCTGTGGTAGAATTTTGCTGCAGTATAGTTAGTGAGAGAGAGATGATGAGCATTGTTCCAGTAAGGAATATAATGATTAAACACAACGTAAGAGAGCATGGAATAGGAACAAAAAAGCCATTTTGCCAACTTTCACAGAACATGCACACATTTACCCCATCATGAGCTAACCTCACCCATCTTTATCTTCTGGTGGAAGATTCTTCATATATACACTTCCAAATCCCCAATTCTATTCAAGCAGAATTCTAGAACTTGAATCTATTTTGTACCTTCACCGCTTTTCCCCATTCTTCCCATCTCCTCCCCATCATATGAATTTCGGCCAAAATCCTGATTCACACCTTTATCTCCTGACTCAACTTATCAAATGCACTCCTTGCTGGCCTCCCCAGTTCCAAAACTAAAACTCAGCTGCCAACAAACTCATCTGCAATAAACTGTGCGCTCAGTGCCCATTCCTTGTATGGCTCTCTGTCTCCCAAAAGATCATCTTCAAGTTTCTCACCCATGAATCCTTTCATGCCCAAGCACCTCCCTAACTCTGAGATCTTGTCCTACCTCAGCTTTCTGCTTGCCCCCTCTGCTTGGCTAACCTTTGCCTGCTACACAACCCCCCAACCTCTTCTAAGCCATTATTGATATGTGAGTCTTCAACAATTATGTCCTTGTCCTCTACTCTTTTGTCACACATTTATATTTTTAAATCTGCATCATTGACTGAGTTTACGGTCACCTCCATGGTCCCCTTCTTCCCTTGCTTGTCACTTGCAAGAAGTAGTAACTATTGCATATTAGTTCAGTTGAATTCTGCACTGACTCATAATTAAACAGTCTGTATGGTATGCATCTGTAAACTTGTTTCAAAGTTATCTGAATATTTTAATGTGGCATTCAAACTGATATTTTACTAAGTTGCTTCCACTGTTGCACAGATATATGTAGTTGTTGGAAGAGCTGCAAGAATGAACTTGCATCTTGTCACTCTGCAATGTGGCATGTTTGTACATGAATATGTTGCATCATTGGACATGACCAACCCATTCCCTATATTTATTCTTGTTAAATTTAATCAAACTGTGACAACAGGAAAAGAATGATTAATTGCCCTCTTCTGAAGAGTTGCAATGGAGTTCATAATTGGCTGCCGCGTTTCGCCCACAGAACATACAATCAATTCAATTTACAGTATATTCTGTGAAGCGCTTTGAGATGTTTAGAAGACGTGATAAGACGCAATATCAAATGCAAGGATTATTATAACTACAGTGCCTCACATGATGACTTCCTAGTCTTATAGGGTAAGTAGTGGGTCACCATAGAGAGGCACAATGTTTTCCTTTGGAGGGATGGAGAAAAGAATAGTTGCCCAAATTTGCATACATAAATTTGTTAGTCACATTGATGTGGGTTGGAGATTTAAAAAGTACTTTCTTTTAACCCTTCTTTCTCATTCACTAATTCTCCCAGTGAACCAATTCAATAGTTTCTAGAATGACATGGGTACTGTACATATTGTACATCATGGAAGTTGGAGTGCAGTTTAACCATACTATTTTATTGTCAGTCATTATTACAATGCATGAACCTGAAGAAAGTAGATTACAAAGGCCAGGTCTTATCAAAAAGGAGCAGCAATGTGATGTGCCATAATGCTAACGGGCAGTGATGAGTAGCACTACGTTTAACCTTTCACAATGTAGTGCAGAGATGATTATGGTGTAATCATGTTGAATATTATACATGTATAGAAGTTTCAGTGAAGTGGAAGAATAGTAAATAGTCCCATGCCAGAGTTCAGGAGGCAGTTTCACAGCATTTTCTCATTATGCAATAAAATCATTATACAGACACACTGAGTTCATTCTAATCTGTCAGCAGATCCCTGTTCTTGTTAATAGGCTTCATTTGTGCTTAATTGCCCATAAAGTGTTTCTTTGTTTTGTGGTCAACATTTACTAGATCATTGGAAATTTGGGGGGTTTTATTTGTTGTTTGCCTGTTTATTTGGCTTTTTTTGGTTGCATAACACACTATTTTGTGTTTAAGTTCCAGAGAGAAATATTTTGGCTGTTGCCTCCTGATGTGAATTTTGTTTTCCCTGAGTGAGGCTTTGTGTGTTTTGTTCTTCAAAGGCTATAAAGGGAAATAACATTCAAACAATCCACCCATTGTGACGTGTTAGATGCCTGTTAACTTTAAGCCACTAATAATGGTGGACGTAATCGGCTATCTACATTGTCAGCTGAGTAAGCGGTATTGTTTCACCAGAACTACCAGATTTTTTTCCCCCATGGGGTGTTTGTTTTGCAACCTGATGCTGAATGAAACACTGCAACAAGCAAGGAAAATTACTTCAAATTTGACCAGGGGGATTGCAGAAAAACAGAGATTGCACTGGGTACTGATGAGAAAGCTTTTGAGAGCTGCTTTACACTTAAACAATCTAGTTAAATCTGGTTTCAAGAATCTAGGTTATCTGGCTGTTTGATTTGCTTGTGCCAGAACAGTCAAGGTTGATCATTTTAGAACAGATACCAGGAAGTATTTCATTGCACAAATGCCTCCTGTCAGGACTTTGAACTCACAGCCCAGCATGTCACTCCAATTCAGTGCTGGAATGCTCCCAGAGGTGCTTCCTTTGGAAAAGATGTTAAAATCATGGTCCTGCTGCCTTCTCAAATGGACTTAATGATCACATGGCACTGTTGAAAGAGAATGGAAGTTCTCCTGGTATCCTGGTCAATAATCCTCCAAATAAAATTGGTCACTCACTTGATGGCTGTTTGTGGGCTTTGCTGTTCTTAAATTGGCTGCACCATTTGCCCACAAAATACAGTCACTCTGCTTTAAATTACAGTATCCTGTGAAGAGCTTTGAGACGTCCTCCTAATGTGAAAGGCTTTATATCAAATGTTGGGATTCTTATTGTTGTTGTTCGTTCCCGGAAAAAAAAAAGACTTGTAGCTTAGAAACAATTATGCATGCTGAGATGTTTTGGTGGTGCCCAACTTCCAGCTTTCGATTCTGTTTTTAATATGAATATCTGCTTCACATCACATCTAATTGTATATTTTGAATATTTTTTAAACTGAGTTTTCCTTCTTTTTTCAGGTATTTGGTTCATTGTGTCATGATCATGTGTTCTTAGAACTACAACAATTTTTGCCCAAGTTCCTTGGTACCTGGACACCAACTGCTGCACCTAATGGTATCCTTTTCATTAAACTCATCATCATATTCTGTATACATTTCCAAAATGTGTTACATTCTAGCTTTGTGGTGTTTTACACTAATGGTAACAATAAATATTGGCACCAATAGTTGCCTATAGTAAAGTAACAAAAATGGTTTATTCAAACTACAGTAGTAACAATCAGCTATTGTTTAATTAAAAAATCAAGAACTTTTAATAAACTAAAATGACCCCCCTAATGGAATAGCATTTGAAAGAGATTTCAGTTCTGTAATCTCACATTAACTTTTGGTGAGAACCTTGCCTATTTTATGAAGTGGTGAAGCTCTGAGGTGAGGTGCTTTGGCTTGAAGGGAATAATAAATGAGGGTGAGGACCTTGATGTTGATTTGTTGGGAGATGGGGAACCAGAAGAGCCGAAATAGGACATGCAGAGTTTGGTGTGGGCAGTGAAGATTTTTATCAGATGAAGCTTATGGGTGGTGGAACAAGGAAAGTGGTGGTGAATGCATTTTAGAAGTCAGGTTAACCATTTAACAAATACTTTTTATGCTTGTATATGCCCTACCAATGTCTTTCTTGAGACAACTATTCTCCAAAAGAAGTGGGTGTAGGTTGGTGTTAGTCAATTTTGATAAAACAAGTGAGACTGAAAAAATTCTAGTATTCTTCCTTGTAGTTCTCCGAAATTGTTTTTGCTTCAAATCTGTCTATGGTACCTGTGTATAAAGTACATTATCACTTTTATATTAATCATTCCAACATAGGTGTATTTTTTCTTGTTTCTTTATTTTTAACTTTCAAAAATATTTCCATGTCTGGTTTTGTTTTCCTTTAAATCAGTTGTTGTTGATTTTATACTTTGGTTGAATTGCAGGAAGCCTGATTTCAATTTGTTGCTCCCAATGACTCACCAAGGACTGAGAAAATTCTGCATACACGCAGTTAAATGCATGCACAGAGTTGTGTTAAATGTTAGGTTTTAATATCAAATAGCTTGTTATACAACATGCCTTCTAAAAACAGTAAAAAAAGAGTAATTTTAATGTTCAAGGTTTATTTTGAGTTGGCAGTCTGGTAAAATAATCTGTTAAATGTTGTGTAATACTTATTCCTTTCTATCAAAAATTAAGTAAACATAGAAGTGCTCTCATTTTAAATTCTCCTGAGTTTGCTCCTTTACATTTATCAGAATTGTACCTTAAACTGGAAGATGTGACACGCAAGTTCAACAAGCCATGCATCATGGATGTGAAAATAGGGAAAAAGAGCTATGACCCTGACGCTTGTGCTGAGAAGATACAGCAACAGATCAGCAAATACCCTCTAATGGAAGAAATTGGTTTCTTATTGCTTGGCATGAGGGTAAGTGTTATCCACGCTAAATTTGGGAAGATGTATGGTTTATATAAAAAAAAACTGCTGTTTCCTGATGCATATATGTTTGGAGATATGTTTTTTGATCCATGTTTACAGATAGTTATTTTCTTTTAACCGTCTTTTTTGTCTCTTCTGTGTTTCCTGAAGAAGCCACTTGTCTCTTTTTTTTTAAAGGATGATAGAAGGACTTTTCCCACAGATTACTCCATAATGCAGTAAAAATAATCTGTAATTATTATCTTGCAAATAGAGCCAGCAAAATTAATTTGTATGTTTTGTGAACATTAATTTGTTATTGTCCTATATAATTTTTGCTGGACCTCAGTACTTAAATGTGAACATATAGATGTTAATAATTGGACTTTTTATTTTATACCATTTGATTTTAACCGGTTAAATTCACAGACTAATCACATTATCCAAGTAGACAATTGAGATTAAAGAAATCTCACAAAACTGCACTTTATTGCTTTGTATTTTAAGTTTGTTACATTTTGCCATATTTATCCCTCTAGTCCATGTGAAGAAATGTATTTGAAGTCATGATTTTTTAATAAAAATATGTAAGCATTTCAAAGCCTTCATAGGTATTTGCTATCAATACCTGATAGCAAGGGAACATGCCTTATTGCAAATCACCCACATAGAGTGGTTCTGCAGTAAGTCTTGAAATTTTATCTGGTACTTGAACCCACAACTGATGTGAGACTTGAAACTTTCTGACCCTGAGGCAAGACTGCTGTGAACAGAGCCTGCCAGATATCTAAGGGTGGATAATTGGAGTTGAGGTACAGATCAGCCTTGATCTTACAGAATGGCAGAACAAGCTCGAGGTGCTGAATGGCCTACTCCTGTTCCTATTTTCCTATTGTAGCAGCTGAACGAGAAATCTTTGGTACTAAGTTTAACTTAAACCAATAATTCTGTAAGAACCACAAGTACAGTAACCATGACACTGAATATTGTCTAAATATTGCTCTTTTCTGATTGACTCACAAAGTTAAACTCAGAATGGATTCCATTCTGGCTTTTTGTGTAGATTGAAAATATCATCCCTTTGAAATGGTAATATGTTTTAGCTGCTTCATTTCTAATGAAAGTAGGGTTTGTCCTGCAACAAATTCTGAAAGTGAAAAGTAAAACTAATCAATAATGGTATTTGTTGCACCGAGCTTGGGTTGTAGCTGTTACAAGCAGGAGTGAATAATGAATGTTCAAAGTGAGGAAAGGAAAAAGTGAGGAAATGTTGATTAATCCTACAACTCATAGTAGATGAGCTGAAAGAATTCTATTTTCTTTAAATAAACAGATCAAAGATGCTGAAAATCTCTATTCCAGTTTGACCTGCTCCTGCAAAGATTGCTGTTTTTTCAGCAGACTTTTGTGAGGTGTGATGTGAAGGACGTGGCTCTCCCCTGTGGCAGCATGGCCTGCTGAGAACTGACAGTTCTTAGTAACTTTGCCTGCCACCCATATGTTTTAAACACAATCATTAAAACGCATGTACATTTAAATCTGTATGCAAACATTTGGGATAACAACAACAACTTGGATTTATATAGCACCCTCCACGCCGGACGGCGTCTCAGAGCGCTTTACAGTAACGGATCCCGGGGCCGAGCCGGGGGGAGGAAGGTGACCAAAGGTGCAGTCGAAAAGAAAGGTCTTCAGCAGAGACCTGAAAATGGGAGGGGAGGGAGCGAGGTGAAGGGAGTGAGGAAGGCAGTTCTAGAGCCTCGGGGAATAGTGGCTGAAGGCACGGCCGCTGAGGATGGAGCGGAGGACTCAGGGGACAAGGAGGAGGCCAGACCTGGAGAAACGAAGGCAATGGGTGCTGTTTTGAGGAGAGAGGAGGTCAGAGAGGTAGGGGGTGCAGAGGAGTGCAGGGACTTGAATACGAAGGTGAGGATCTTGAAGTCGATCCTCTGGGATAGGCAGCCAGTGCAGTCTGGCAATGACTGGGGTGATCGGGGAGCGTAGTTTCGTGCGGGTGAGAATGCAAATTTGTGATATTAAATGTTGTACATAGTTCAAATAATTGCTACAATTGAGTTCATTCATCACCCATCTTTTTGGAAAAAGAGAATTAACCAGGGTTCCTGATATTAACCACAGTTGAATAGCCCACTAACCCCCACTGTCTGAGTGCATGCATGAAAAATGTATATGAGGGACAGTTACCGGAGGGAACTCTGTGCTTTGGAACTGTACTGCAGCACAACTTGGTACCTTTAGGGTGGGTTGGGGGTAACTATTTTAGTGTATCACTTTTTAAATTTCAAAATAGTTTGCCTTTAATCATACAGCTAAGTGAAGTCTGAACAACACTTAAGTTGTCAGAAAAAGCATAGCTTTCAAAAGCAGATTTCAGAAGGTAAAGAAAGCCTTCTACGAGGTACCTTGGTGAGATACAGCAGGATTCAGGTAATATTTTGACAGTTAGTGTGCTTCATCCTTCTCTAGGTTGCATCTTTCCATGGAAAAATCCAGTAGAGAAAAATATATTTATGGGTAAAATTATTTTCTGACAAGTAAATGCCAGGTACGTTAAGATTGCCACATAGGCACTTTCAAGTAACGATAATCTATATTGCCACACTCCACATGGATACTGGAAGATGCATTACTTGGCATGTATCGTTTAGCAATAAATGTTGTGAAAGTTTTGTCTGCCAACTCTGAAGGCTTCAAATTAGTCTGAATGACCTCCACGGCTATCTCACAGCTATACCACCCTTTGTCTTGTGTTATTTCACCAGAAGTTTAAAATGTCATAACCTACCTCTGGCTATGTTTCTAGATTTTATTCCTGCAGCCTTTGTATTTCTTGTTTGTGCTTTCAATTCAATTTTTTGTTCATATAGTCCTCCTTAAAAAAAAGAAAAAGCAGAAGGAACCAGAAGGAAGAAGGTTGTTTTCAGATGCTGGCCCTTGTTACAGAAAGGGGATGAAATCTGTGCAATATTATGTAGATTTTGTAAGACGATTTAATTCGAAGGGGTCAATGTTAGTACACATAATGAAGTAATGAAATACTGAATGCTCGATGGCTATAAAACAAAAATGTCTTGCATTTAAGTCCATTTTGCTGCAGATCTGATTATGATGGAGTAATTATAAAGGAATTGAAAGCAATATTACAAAATTGAACTTATTAAATGTTCAGATTCTCTGAACAATCTCATACTTCATGTTTCTTTCATGAAACTTGCAGTCTTACATAATTGTCAATAATTCCAAATGTCTATCTGAATCTAGTGTATTGCCACAGTAACCTATATCTTTACTTTTAAAGAATGTGTTAATTAATAATGTCACTGAAATGTGGAGTGTTGTGTTGATTTACAGCCTTGCATCATAATTTAAGAATTCAGCTTTGGTTTTAGTTTATGAAAGTCTAAATCTCATATGACTTGTTATAAGTACTATTTTGCAAATTTACAATGTATAGTTCTCTCAGAATAGTTGAGACACTAAACATTTTGAATTGTTTATTGCTGGTATGAAATTCATTTATGTAAACTGTCACAAGAAAAAATTCTGAGGCCCAGCATAGTATTTTTGCAACATGCTCCTTCTTACATGCAGTATGTGGACAGATACATTAGAACTAACATTCACTGAACTGAGCAGTTACAAGAAATCTGCCTCCATGGTGCCTTTTTATTTTAAAGTTGCTCATGCATTTTGATTTCCAGTGGGAGAAGGCCTTGTGCTATTCCCATTTCAAAGATCAACCAGTAAATTTTTAAAACCTTGTTTTTTGTCTTCATTAACTTTTTAAGACTATATTGATCGCCTAATACATTGCCAGTGTAAATTTAGCTCTATATTTCTAGTTATAAGAACATTGCACATGCATGAACCTATAAAGTTTTGAGTACTTTGTCTTAATGTTGGGGAAATCATGGATACAAATCTGCAACTTTCTTTTTGTAACGCCTCAGCAAGTGATAGGATTTTTGATTGTGGTCCAGTCGAGGTATTTGCTCGTTCACACACAAAAACTGAAGATGGCGTTGAATTGGGTAGGGTTATTTTACATAAAAACCAAAGTTGCTGGGAACACTTAGCAGGTCAGGCAACATCTATTGAGAGAGGAAAGTGAGTTAACGTTTCAGATCGATTGACCTTTCATTAAAACTGGGGGATGTTGGAAGGGAGCAGTTAATAAAGACAAACAGAGAAGGGGTCATTGACCTGGAACGTTAACTCACTTTCCTTTCTCGATAGATGCTGCCTGACATGCTGAGTGTTTCCAGCGACTTCTGTTTTCAATTTCAGATTTCCAATATCTGCAGCATTTTGCCTTTTGTTTAGGGTTATTTCAAATCGTATTTTGATGTATGCCATGACGATGCTTACAAGCTATTGCTTCTGACTGCAATTTAAGTTGCTTGAGCCAGACGGTGTCCAAAACAGTGAATATTGCCAGTGCATCACTCTTATGTGTGAATTTGAATTACTTGTGCTGATACTTCAATCGCACAAAAAAATAAGATTATACTGTTTGATGTTGAAAGATTCATGAATGTTTTGAATGATTTTTGTCCATCATTGTGTAGGGAGATTAACTTTGAGATACTATCAACAATAAAATTCTGCCTTTTGTATAAATAGTGAATAATTAACAGTCCTTGTTACGTGAAGGTAGATTTTCGCACACAAATCCTAATTTAAATTTATCCTCCAGGTCTACCAGTTGACATCTGATAATTATGTGGCATATGACCAGTGCTATGGAAGAGGTCTAACACAGGAAACTTTAAAAGATGGTAAGAGCTTATCTACAATTTCTGCATTGCTTTCTTACAGAAAATCTGTAGTGCGACCTCAAAATAAAAGAAGGCCTCTATCAAACTTATTGTTTCCCTTTTGTATTCTTTCTGTGTTGCCGCTGCCTATTTCTGGAGAGGTAATCGATGGCGGTGGTTGCAGTATGGAAAAGCAGTACACGGGAAAGGTTAAAACAGGTCCATCCCAGTGTCAATATACCATGAATAAATGGCTTGTAGGCGATAATTTGAAATGTCCCTGGAGTGTCGTTAATTTAGAACTTAATTTTTTCAAAGAATGTAGAAATTCTTTCCTGGGACCATTCCACCCTTAGCTTCAAGAACTGTGCGGTCCGAAGGTTATATAAAATGCTTTTCTGCATCAGGAAATGCGACCAACTATCACATTAAAATCAGGGAAAAACAACTCAGCTGTACTTTGGACCAATACATCGGCACATAACCTCATAACAGGAAATTGTAGGGTCACTGGGATAATCAGGTGTAAGAATCTCAGCTGAGCATTTGTCATCCTTCACCCCAAACCACAGGTGGTTAGATTACATGTTCATTTTTTTAAAAAAAATCAATATAAACTTGGTAAAGTGGCAGGCAAGCAAGAAAGAAATGAGTGTGTACCTACAGGTAGTATATAGGAATATCATTTGTTTGGTTAGTGATTTATATTGTTTAAAAAGAGAGTGCCTTGTTGTCTTGCCAATATTAGCCTTGCCAGTCGTATCACGTGAGCTTTCCATTTCAGTTCAGTTACATTTCTGTCAGTGGGCCTATCATTGACCATGAAGAAATGCATTTCATAACTACATATGCAGAGGAAATCAAGATGTGTGCTGAAATTATGCATTTTGGCCTATGGCCAGCCTGTTAATTTGGTGTCCTCAGTCACATTGTAACCAATAAATGTGCTTTGTAGATGCATCATAGTTGGGGTTGCTGTTTTTATCAACTTTCTTTGAGGATAGATTTCTAAACTGAAAAATAATTGTTTTCTAAGATTGTGAAGAATTGAAATCTGGCATAATGAGAACATTGATAATTGTTTGAAAACCCACATTGGCTGAAGTAGAAGAATGGCTTGTTCATTTTCTATTTACAATTAACTGGCATTTGTGATATTATAAACACTGTTCACCAGTGAAAAATATAATGTATAGTTACTTTGAAGTTTAATCGAAATGGGTAAATAGTATGAGATGCTAAATTGCAAGAATAAAAACAGGCTTTGATGTCCATAGAAGACACTTTTAATATTTTTTTGCTGACAATACATTGTTCTCAATTAAAGCTCAATGAAAGGAAGATATAAAGATCATAAAATGGCCAGTGAATATATTATTTTGTTCCAATATGTCCTGTTTAATCTGTTGGGTTTACACTGCTAGATGTTAAACTGCTGTAAAGATTGAAGTTTAACATTTAAGTTATTCAGTCTTGTGACTGAAACCTCCTCAGGAGATTTCAAAAATCCAATCAGACATCCGCTGCAGTATAAATTTTGTATTAATCACAAGGGAAATATTTCTGTAAGTGGTCAGTTGCAAAGAACCACTTACCGGATGTAAACTATTGTAGACAATCTTGCATTAATTGTAGTTTGTTCTTCAGTTGGCCTTAAGTTTACAAATTAGTGCTAGATATGGTTCCATGTTTCAGGAAAGTCTGTTGTGGAACTGTTATGAAAGCTACATCACTCAGTGGATTTTTTTATTGTAGGTAAGTTACTGCTGATTTTAGCTTTTGACTCTACACTAAACTGAATATCTTGGACCAGTTCATTTTAAGATTTACAATTGTAGGACAAATGTTCAGAATGTTACACTTACTCGCCTATTTGACTAATATATTCACTCATGCAGATGCTTAAGAGAAATGAAGAGCATGAAGTGAAGAATGTTAGCATGTATGGTGAAAGTATACATATTGCTGACTTGACAGTCGGTTGGTTTAGACACCAAAATAGTCAAGCTCACAGAGATAACATTTATTTGTCCACAAATAAATATGGTACTAATGATTACAGGAAAGATACAGTTACCATTCTAGCGACGCAGAGCTTCTTTTATCTTTATCTTTAATGCCAGATCTGTTATGATTTCAGGTTATATAGGGCCTGATTGTTGTACACAAGAACACAGAAGTTTTCCCGACCTCTTGTTCATTGTTCCTTCAATTTGTCATTACCATTCAATTGAGTTCAATTAACTTGTATTGGTCACCCCCTCATTGCTACATCCTGTTTTTGAGACCTCAAGAACATTCCACCTACCCATTTCTACATACCAAGACCATCTGGTTACTTAGTCCTTTTTCTACATAACTGCACCAGATAAAAGCAATGCCATCAGATAAATAGACAGAGATTACTCAATTCTAGCAAGGTTACCAAAAATACATGGTACATACAATACAATCAACCAAATTTCACTTGTAGGCAAAAATCAGCAGTACAACAGCATGTACTGTAGTCAACAAAGTTTCATCGGTCTACAGTCCATTCCTTGCAGCAAAAGTACATTCCCGTAATGCCCTAGTTGTTAAGTTTATGTGCAGATAATACAACAAAATTCTTCAGTACACACAGGTTAATGCTGGTATCTTAGTTAATAGTGCTTTTAGGTTTGGCTTTGTTTTGAGTGACTTTGCAAAGAAAGTTGCCATATGTTAAATTACACCAAAAATTTGAAGCTTTCACATATGTTGTGTAGAATACACAAGTTTTTTTTCTTTGTCTATGCTTCTCTTATTTGCTTATTTATGGAGAGGCTAACGTTTGTGCAATAGTTGCCATAGTGAGCAGATTCAGCTTGTTTCAAGAGCATTGAAGTTGCAAATGTTTTTTTCAGAGTTTTTATGATTAATAAATACATTTGTCTTTAGTCATTCATAAAATAAAGTAATACCAGATTAACTATTTAAAATCTATGTTCAAAAACTTAAACAAGGGCAAATAATGTGCACAAGGCAACAGTAGATTATCTTAGTACAATTGGAAAACAAAATTGGGTGTCCTGTCTCCAACACTTGGATCTATTTCAAATTCCGTCAACAGTTTTTAAATTTGCTGTTCGTTTATTTATCACCAGATGGCACTGTGTTCTTGTTTTGTAAATTATATCGTGACTTAGAAGCCTTTTCCAAAACCGGAGAAAATCCCTTTGAGTTTGTATTTTATATAGAAAAGTGACATTTAGCTGCACATGAACTGACTAGTTTTAAGTTTCTTTGAAAATTGTTTCTTTTTGTATTCCCTTTGATCTGACTTTTGCAGAATATGACTTATTTCTGCAGCAAGGAAATAAAATGTCATACTAAGAATTTAAAAAAATTTAATTTGAAGCGGACATTAGAGTAGGATACAATATTTTCTTGAAAGGAGTCTACAACTGGTTGAAGTATCATTTATAATATACATTGACTATATAGAGAATTTGTGAATGGTGGAACTGGGAAAACTGGCAAGGAATGTGTTTGTATAATCAAGGATGGAGGTGCCAAAAGTCTGGGTGAGGTTTTCGGTGGCATTTGGTGTGAGAAAGATTCAGAGTAAGGTAATGTGGCGAGAGATGGAGGAAAGTTGTCTTGGTTAAGGATCAAATATGGGGAAGAAAGAATAGCTGAGGATCAAACCAGATGAACTCCAAAGTTGTGCACTGCTTTGATAAGTTTGAGAGGTTAAGGAAGTAAAATCAGTATTTGTACTTTCATTAGTAGGTTTAACAGTTTCACATTTGCGAAGTGGTTTTATATAGTGTATGAGCAGACATTTTTATGGAACCTTTATTCGGGGGCAGTTTCAACTCACATTTAATATATAATATATAACATTTAATTTATTGTAGGAGAAAATGTCAGAGCGCTTCACAGTCAAGTGTAGTGACTATTTTTGTGTGCTAACATTTTAGCTTTGAGAACATGGTAATCATTTAGTGCCTACAATTTTCAAGAAAATTCAGATTGTTGAGACCAAAAATAATTTTTGATTGCAAATTTAAGGAAATGAGTTGCAGTTTGACATGAGAATGTGTTCATTACCTCGGAAATGGAAAGCATCCAGTTTATTTAATCTTCATAGCAATTCTGATAAATTAGAGGATTTAAACTTTTTAAACGGCATATTGACTTTATAAAAGTCTCTGGAATCCTGCAGATATAATTTTATGCAATATAAAAACAAACTTTCAGCGCACATGAACATGTTTCCCTTTAAATAAGTTTTGTGCTGAATTACTAAATCTGAATTACATAATTTGCGAACAACATCAGTATAGTAGCTATCAGTGCCTCCATATTGAGGATCCACAAACTCAACTTCACAATTTAGTTTCTATGGTAACATCCTTTGTTCTTTGTGTAGATTTCTGGACAGAACTTTCTAATTATTATTCAGTTTAAGCTTCCTTTAAAATCAAATGGCTGATATTCCTAATGCTTAGAATGGATAGAACTGCCATTTTTATCTATTTCAATGGTAATCAATATCTACATTTTGCAAAATAGGTTGTCTTCATTATTTTCAATTTCCCTATAACAATTTATTATTTTTTAACCAAATAATCCACTCCATTTGGTGCACAATTGAGCTGCAAATAACCTTATGTTTTTAGCTGGTTGGTTTATTACGATATTCCTAGGAATTGCTTCAATGGCTCCAGAACCTGTTATAGTAGCTGTTGTTTGGTTTCATTGACGTGACTGCAGGCACAGCCAGCCTAGTATGGAGCGTGTTTTTATCCTAATCTACATTTTACATCGTCACCTCAAGAATGAGGGAACAACACTATTTGACTGAATTGCATTGCATGGCTGGAAATGGGGAAGAAAACATGAAGGCACCAGGGAGGGAGAAGAAACAGCCTGCCTGTCACAGTGCTTCAAGCATTCCAGGTGTGTGATGGCTTTCTTCTAGTTATTTAATTATTTAGCTCCAAATGCATTTGATTCATTTCGGACCCTTATAACTGGTATAGTGAGATGGTTTTCATCTAAATTGCGACTTGATTTCAATACAGAAGGCAAAATCCATGTGCATATGATTGCCCAAATCGTATATCAAACATATCACCTAAAATCCCTGAATTGTTTTAAATTCCAGAAGTTTGTCCAGTTCCTGTAGTTTGCCCTTTCATGTTCTTTCTTTCCATACATCTTTTATTCTACAGAATTCATATGAAAGTTTTGATGGGAAAACTTCTTGTGAAAGCTCTGGCACCCAGACATTTTTGGCTGGCTGATATCTTTGTGATTGAAGTCTATGGTTGACCAAATATACTTGATTCGGAAGCTTTATAAATCAAGGTGATGTGCTTGTGAGGTTTAGATTCATTGTTTTACATTATGCTACAGGACTCCTAAAAGCCAAAATGCTGATAGAAATGAGATAATAAGCTAGATGTGATTTTTGATAAACCTGAACTGTAAAGCAAACTATTTCACATTGTCTATCAAGTCAAATGGCATTCAATGAGTTGCAGATTTCCAGAAGTTAATGATATAAATGGATGTAATAAGAGGATGTAATGTAATAAGCACAGAACTACTATCTCCTTTATTGAACTGAAGTGAAATTCTATACAAAACCAAGTGGCTCTGTAGATTAGTATAATGAGATAAATATACTCAAGTGGAGAAACTTAAATCTATTGCAATACATTGCAAACTTGCTATTTAGGCCAGAGTGGTCTGTTTTGCCTTATTTGTGAGTTTGAAATCAGATTCAAATTGGAAACAAAAGATGCAACCATCATCAGTTACCCCTACTATTGAGTTACCACAGTGTGAGCTTCTGCTGTAAGTAACCTGCTCCAGTTGTTAATTATGATTGGGGTGAAGAAAAACATTCAGGTGTCTTTCCTGAAATTGCTCTTTGCAATTCTAAATGTTTCTTCTTTTGTTCCATTATCTTGGTGCATCCTAAAGAATTGTTCTGGGTTCACTTTTTCAAGCACATTCAAATACAAGTCTCCAAGTTGAAAGACTTTAATTGGTTTTGGTCATCTGTTAATGCCAAACTTATCAAGCGATTGTTTGCTTTTTATTTTGCTTTTTATTTTGATCATAATTGCCAAAGAAAAACTGTTTCAACAGTGCTTTTGAGCAAAGTAGCGTAGTTCAATTTTATCGTCGTATTTTTAGGATAGCTACATCGAATAATGTAAACATTAGAAATTTGTTTTGGTGTACTTGTAATTTTGGGGAGGAGAGAATATCTTTAGATTACAAGCAGATATCTATTATTTAGCCTTATTTGCAAATTGAGTTATCACCTCAAAAAGATTTGTGATAATTACAGAACTATTTCAGAACGTGGAGTCCTGTAGCTCAGTGGTTAGAGCACTCGCCTCACAAACGAGAGACTTGGATTCGATTCCCAGCAGGACGAAAGCTTGGGCAAGTTTCCTGTGTGCTGTGTGATGAATGGCCATTAAAGAAGTTAGGCTTCTTGATCTGTAATAAGATTGATTTTTGAGTGGACAAATGGATTCACTCGAACAAGTAACGCCATCAACACTGGTATCGTAGGAAGTGTGTACAGTGTTCATTGCAAAGGGAGGGGAGAGTGGCAGCAGAGGAAAAGATGGATCTATGATTTTTGGCCCTTAAATGCCTTGCTCAGCTCTTGAAGGACTACAGTGTATTCTTAGTTGAATAAAACATTAGATGAGGTATCTTGGTTCTCCATTCCACAAGACCACAAATGTAGACGTGTGTGATAGGAAAGATATATGTTGGAGAGTTCCTCTAAAGAAAGGTGTATCATCTACTAGACCTTTACTGCATGTAAAGAAAAATGAAGGATCATGTCTTTCATCAAAAGGAAGCAGCACAGATGAGCTTCTATCTCTTTCATTGTAAACGAGTTGAGTGCTGTAGGTCATCTTTGAAATGTCCAAAAAGCAATGGAACAGCATAACTGGGTAATGTACTCCAGAGTAATTGTCAAATAAGAACTCGGCTACATCCTGAGATTTTCCTGATAGAAATCTTTTCAAAGAAAATTGACACTTCAGCGCCTTGGGAAATCTGCCCGATGTGAAAGCGCTATACAAATATAAGTTGTTGTTAGCTACAAAATTCTACACATCCTCGTAAAGATGTTAGGATAAGGTTTTCCACAATTTCATTTGAAGGTCACAAAATAGCAACAGATGCAGATAGATTGAAATCGCAAAGAAAAATTCCTCAAAGAATATTTCAAGATGTTGCTTTATTATTTGGGTCAGTTGCTTAAGAATTGCTGGTGACCTTTGCTAAAAATTTTAAACAATTAACAATTTTATTAAATTGTTAGTACCTACATATTCACAAAATACTGTTGGTACCAACAATTGCAAATATTTGAATCTCCAGTGCAGTAATTATTTTGGTATTAGTTAACACCAAAATACACTTTGTAAAAACTTAAATGTATCTTCATGCTGTCCAACAGAACTAGTGTTTCAACAGATGAACCTAACCTGAAACGAAAGTATAGATATTGCATCTAGACTGGTAACTTAGCAGGGGTAGCTAAATAACTTGTATTATGTTAGCTTGGTATTTTCTTCCCTTTGCTTGGTTTGATTAATTTCCTGGTCAGAGCAGAATAGTTATCTTGGTCCAAAATGTCCGGTGTGAGTGGAAGTTTGCAGGAACAGTTGGTTGATATGCATGTAAATTTTACCCTGATGGGTGGTGCTAATTGCTGCTGTGACTTTTAATGGGCCTACAAAGCTGCGTTTTAATAGTTTTAAGAGTATACTAATAATTTCATTGTTTAAAACTTGTAGCAATAACCCGATAGTTTAAACTTCAGGTAATGGATCCTCACTTTTTAATTTGCTGCTACTGGTAAAACAAAACTTAATGATAATATGGTTTTAACTAAATTAGCATACAAGTAGTTTCTCCCAATACTGTGCTGATCTTAACTAATGTCGTGGAATGACCTATTTTGTTATGCTATTTCAACTGTTACAACACCGTTGCCAAAGTTATTCTATAAACTTTTTTTGATTCTTTTAATTACAGTACACCATTGCATACTTATTTACCTCATTTGATTTATGCTTTTGCTAATCTTTATGCAGGTCTGTCTAGATTCTTCCACAATGGAAATTATTTGAGAAAGGATGTTGTTGCTGCCAGTATTCAAGAGATTGAAAAAATACTACAGTGGTTTGAGAGTCAGAATCAGCTCTGTTTCTATGCAAGCTCCTTACTGTTTATTTATGAGGGGTCGCCTCAGCTGATAGCAATAGGTGATGGAGAGGCACCCAACAAACCAGCAACACCAAAGGGAATGAGACATACTGGAGAAACGCTGGAGAACAATAACAACATGCATGTAATTAACTCTACTGAAAATGGAATGATGGAGGCTGCAGTTGGTCAAAGCCTTTCCAATATGTATGCACTCCACATGAAGGGGTGCTACAGAGGACATCAAAATGTGGTTCCGTCACAATTGAAGAAAACAGAGCAAGACCATAGTATATGCAAATGTTTAACTCTCATTACACCTGGACAGCCAAACGGCAATGATTTAAAACAGTTGATTCATACATCCAATATGCTTCAGGAATCCACAGATGTTGACATCAGAATGATAGACTTTGCACATGTGTTCCCTAGCAACACAAAAGACGAGGGTTACATTTATGGACTGAAACATTTAATCAGCATACTACGGAAAATACTGGATGATTAAATTTTTATTTTTGAGAGATAAATGAGAAGAGCAATTATATTTGTTTTTAAATTGATTTCTGCACAAGTTATGACACATGCCTTTGTGTTTATAATGTGATATCCAGGTGTATTGTATCTGCCGTTTGTTGTACAGTACTTCTGGAGACTGATTTGATGTTGATAATGGCTCAGGAAAATTTAAGAACTCATCATTGGCAGTAGCTGAAACGATTTCAAAAGCCTACAGAGGGCAGCTCAAACATAGCAACTACTGACATGGAAATTTATGAGCTCCCACTGTTTGAAAAGAACCAACAGACTTCAGTAATGGTAATTGGTTTTTCAGATGTATGTATCTTGAAGTAACCAACTGCCTGCCAATCCTAGGCATGAAAGTTGTGCCTATGGACTAATTTTACCTTCAATGAAGACAAGGTTAGTCAGACTTAAGATTGTTAGATTGTTGTGGGGATGTTGCTGCCACTTTCTGAAGATATGTATTTTATCAGCCTTTTTACAGTTCAATGACCACAATATGTATAAAATGTTTTGTCCTGTCTGTATGGTAGATATATTCTTAATTGCTTTATTTTTTAATTATTTAGCTAAATGTCTAGAAAATTTCAGCCCTGCTATGATTTGTTAATTTATGAATGTAACCAAAGCTAATGAATAATGTCACATTCAGTTTCCTAAAGCACCATAGGCTGAGAGTTCTGCAAAACTGAGCTACATATAATGCCCATCATGTTTAAAATTTTATATAAAAAAAACCTTTGAAGTCCTTTGGGCTCTGCTAAAGTAGAGGGGTGAAAGAAAACTTGTGGTAGTTTTTCTACCCTTCTTTGGACACTAACTTGCACCTCAATAACAGCCCTCCTCCAGATTCAATCAAATTTCCCTGAAGCATTTGGTTTAATTTTTTTTAAAGAAGGGGAGAAAACTTGAACCTATTTTATTTGTGCATCTGTAAGTGTTGTATTTGGTGAATATCTTCCAAAGTTAAATTTCTTTATTTGCACCCACATTGACAAATGATTGATTTGACTTCATCTTATCTGGGTGGTTGTGTGTTTATAAAAATGTCACTGTGTCATGCCACATGAACATGAAATTGTCAGACCAACAACCTCAAACCACAAGTCTTTTGGGCTTCAACATCAGAATACTGTATTAAGCAAACAAGCAACAATACCTACATGATGTTTATGCTTAATTAACTAGTGACCCAAGTAAGATGAATAATCTTGTCCATATTATTTGTACAGTTTGCTTTATTTTGCTTTATATTTGCATGGTGAGAGCTTTCTGTGTCATGATAATTTTTTATCATACCAAAAAAGGGCCAAATACTTTGCAAGCCAAGATGTATATTTAAAAATGGCATAAAGCACTAAAAAATGTTTTTGCAAAAAAAAACTCCACCAGATTTCAAAGTACTGGGCCAGCCTTGTTTACAGTGACATTTTCATGTTTTCTTTTCTCTTGACTACTTTAATTTAATGCTCGCCACTTTCTCTATCATCCTTTTTTTTCTGGAGCAATAGGGGGCATTTTATATGAGCTCTTCGTGTTTCTACACATAATTTGTAGCACAGCATGTAAAGAAGACATTTTTGTTCTAAGCAATGTGTCCTGTTAGAATCTGTTCCTGGATTATATTTTGATTGCTAAACTATTTTTTTATATGTTGATAACAAAAGTTTACATTATGCAGCTGCACGTTTCCATAGACCTGCCACAGGTTATATCATGAATACTACTGACGGTCCCTCAATAACCGATGAGACTTGCACACTTTCAAAGTTATTTCTTTTTTGCCCTTTTAAAAATATTAATGTTTGAAGTTTTTGACTGAAATTTTCGTATTTAGTGTCGGAGCTGGGGTTCCTGTGTCAGACATAGAATCTCTGAATCTGCACATATCCTAAAGGGAGGGAAAAACTTAACACCAATTATGGTCTTTTGCGTGATCACCTGGTAGTCTGAGAAATGAAAATGCTGCATATCCATTGAAATTGACAATGCAAGCAAATATCAGTTTATACATTGCTGTTTCTTGTCCTTCAGTTTACCTTTGCTCTGCAAATTCTAAATACATTTTCCCATCAAGTCTAACCTCAGCCGTACAATTGTGACAAATCTGTTTAGTACACTTAACCCCTGGATGATTACAGTTGCACTATTCGCTGTTTGGAACCTTGACCAAGATTTGCTGACATCATCTCGGGATGAGTTCTCCTCCTCGATGTGACCTAGGCCTGGATAATGTATACAAACTACAAGTTTTCTAAAACAAACTTCACATTTGTTTGAAATATTTATTCACGTTTAGTTTTTTTTAAAGTTGTTAATCATATGCATATTGTGTTGGCTGCAACAAAATGTACAAACTGAGGTTTTCAAATGTTTTCATTTGGGGAAATATACATGTCAATGTTGGTCTTCAGTAAATGTACAAATTTGTGATTTTTAAAATTCCTAAAAAAAATCTGGCTGCAGTTTTGATTTACTCAGCCTCAACTGGTGTACTTAGGAATTCTATCCGGCCATTTTAATTTTGGCATTCAATGGAGTATTTCAAGTGTTGCTGGTATCATCATCTCAGTTTTTACTTTACAGTATGTATATACGTTGTGTTGTGCTGTTCAGGGTGACACTGTTCAATGCAAGTTTAATTCCATAGGAAGTGTGCATCACAGTGAATTCAGGTTCCAGCCAGTAGATGGTTGCAGTTAAGTACTGACTTGGAATAAAAAATTGGCTTTATCTCTTTTCACCATTTCAAATTTGGGAAAATTGTTCTGGATAATTTGTAGCAAATTAAATACAATTTATATTCAGTACGGCCTCTACATTTATAGCAGTTTATATAAAATCACCTAATAATCTTGTTGTGACTTTTTGGTTGCTACTTGTAATCCATATGATTTTCATTCTTTTAAAAGCATTGTTGAAGGTCTTTTATTTAATAGCATTGCATGACTTCATTAGGAAACTTCACTGTAGATTTATATTAACTTCCAAGAAAGCACTGAAATATTTGTTCAGTAAAAAACTTGTCAACATTTGTGAGTCCACTGAACATTTCATAACCTTATGGAATACAGTGGATCATTTTTATTGGGAGCTGTTTTGTGGCATACAACTGAGGTCTCCTTGAGCATAACGATTTATCGTTGTGTATTCGTGTCAAATTCATAAATACAACTTGCATTAATTTATTAGGGCAGTTTAGGTTACAGTAATAAATGTTTCCCTTTCATGTATTAACCATCTTACCCTCCGTTGACTGAAGATTTTTTCAGTTAAATTTCTTTTTTTTAAAATGCAACCTAGTAGTGGGATCCTTCAATATTCCTTTTTGCTGACTTTTTTTTAAGAGATTACATTTATGAAATGATTAATGTTGTGAAAATCAAAATGTCTGTTGATCATTATTCTATGGGTAAATTTGACATTTTCAAACAGCATTGCCCTGTATAAATGATTGTCGAGGAGAAAGGAAGCTATTTTTAATGGAATGTTTGTACAATGTAGTTTACATGGCAAATTTTGGTTGGCTAAATTACGGAAATCTTGAGTTTCAATATTTAATTTTGATTTCTTATTTTATAGTGTTGAAACTATCCTTAAAACTATCAAAATCATGTATACACAAAAATTTAATTTGAATTGCTGTTCAGCAATACAGTTTGTTCTGCTTCATGTAAATGATGCAGAATGTTTTTGCTTTTGTAAATCAATATGGAATACAAATTTGACCTTTTTTTACAGTGGTGAGTTTTACACTGGTGCAAGCTGCTTTCACTTTTTCAATTTAATGAAAGAACTGAGGTGAAGATGGATTACCTTTTCTTACGTCAGCGCATGTTTGTTATTTGTGGAGTGGAATGCATGACATCAAACGGAATTGCATTTACCCAACTACAGTCCAATTTCAGCTTGCTTTCTGCAAACTAGTCGGCTGCAGTGCAAGTCTGAGCTGTGAAATAAAGCAGTTAATTTAAATTACTTAGATTCAAATTAACTCAGTCCATATGCATACACTGTGGAATTTCCATGGGATCTGTATGTTCACTCTGGAATTGGGGGCTTCGTTGTGAAATTGTTAGTTCTTCCCTGCAGTCCTAATTAAGAAAAGATTTTACTAAACCAAGTGAATGTTATCTTTTGATTTTTTTTNAAGTCAGCATCCTTTACATGTTGACTTATAAAGTTGGATATTAAATTTACCAATCGATTTGTCATTTCTTTTTACTGCAGCTTTGGCACAAATTCCAAAACTTATTAAGAACATTGCACACTAGATTGGTCCAGGTTATGCAAAATTCAGCCATCTAAATTTACATTTCATTCAGAGAAGTTGGGGGGAATTCTGCTTAATTTCTAACTCATTTTTTTAATAGGAACATTTAAAATTAGTTTTCTCAATTTCAGTTTCAAGTACAATTTTAATTGCCGTGTAGATGCGTCAGCAAATGGGAATACTGCCCGTTTCGTTGATGAACGTGCACTCAGACACTTTAGTATTATGGGAAATAATACTGGAATTGGTATCTTATCAGAAAAGCAACAAGTGCACATTCATATACTGTGGTTATTTATAATCAATCATACATACATATCAGTGTAGTCTGACTAATCTATCTTCTAATGTATGGAGTTATCTTTGATTTGTGATGACTTGTATGCATAACTTGTTTTGCTGCATATGGGAAGGAGGGGTACTTGCTGATGTGTAATGGGTGCTACTTGTTTTACAAGAGTCTAAAGTCTAACTGATAAAGATTGCTTACTTTTGTAATTTAATATGATATTTAGATAAATCACATAGCTGTATATTTGGCAAATGGAATTACTAATAAATTTTCTGTAAACAAGTGCTTGATTGTATCATCTTTTACACCACATAACTATCAGCAGTGACAAGCATCTTGGCTAGAACTCGTTGGGTAAAGAGATATGCAAGTGCAGAAGGGCCATGATTCTTCTGTTTGGCTCTGCTCAAACATATTGACATTTTAAGAAAAGCACAA